CATTAAGGAAATGTTCTAAATCATAAGTGTATATATTATAGAGTAACGGACTAAGAACAGAGCCCTGGGGTAATCCTTTCCAAGTCGTCCTGGATTTTATGTCCATTTTCTAAAAAAATATGTATAGTCCTCTCATATAACATGTTATAAATGAAGTTAATGAATATTTTTGGAACTTTTAAATCAATTAATTTCTGCCGTAACAGATGCGGAAGAACACTATCATATGCAGAATTTATGTCTAAAAACGCAGATAGAAGGAAATTATTATTTGTGAACGCCAGTCTTATATCAGTAGTTAAAATACTCAAGCTATCTATCGTACCTCTTCCTTTCCTAAAACCAAATTGACTGCTTGCTATTATATTTTTATTTTCAGCAAGCCATTCAAGCCGGTTTTTCACTAAATGTTCTGCAAGCTTACCTATTACAGATGATAATGCTATTGGCCTGTAAGATGTGGCCTCAGTAGAAAGTTTCCCGGGTTTAAGAATAGCAATGATTTCCTGTGTTTGCCAAGACTTTGGTATATTGCTAGTTGCTATTATGGAATTTAAAAGATTTAAAAAGTAAGACAAAATTTTTTCGTCTAAATTTGAAATAAAAGAGTATAGAATACCATCCTCCCCAGGGGCAGAATCCTTAAGATATGATAATATGCCTTTTAATTCTGACATAGAAAACTGCGAGGCTAATTCGGAGTGATCGTTTAAATTACACTCTAAATTTGGGTGGCGAAATTCTGGAGCAAAAGGGGGGGCAAGTCGGTCTGTAAAATCTTCAGCAAGATCTATTGGAAGAGATATTGAGGGAGAACTAATTTTACTACATCTGAATCGTCTGATATTTTGCCAGAGAACTGAAGGATTAGTATTAGGAGAGATCGATGAACAGTAATTTTTCCACCCTTCGATTTTCTTCATCTTTAAAATTTTGTGTGTGTTGGTACTTATAACTTGAAAACTTTCAAAATTTTCTGATGTCATAGATGAACAATATTGTCTTTCTGCAGTCTTTCCCTGGCAAGGTAGAAACGTTCTGTAGTGTGTTGCTTTTGTAAGTATCCCAGCCTTTAGTACTTAATCTGTATTTCATACGTGAACGCGGAACTTTTTGATTTGGAAGGTTATAGAAAGGAAACGAAATAATTATTGGAAAATGATCACTGCCATAAGTAGAAGACAAAATGTCCCACTCTAGAACAGAAGAAAGATTGGGAGTACATATAGATAAATCTACAGCACTCACACTCTCATTCGGTTCTGTACGTCTTGTCGGCTTTGAAGTATTTAGAACACATAAATTATGATGATCAAGGATATCTAACATTAGATCTCCATTAGGATTAGAAAAAGAGCTACCCCAGGATTGATGATGACAGTTAAAATCACCCATAACCAAAAATGGCTTTTTCAGTGAAGATAAGAGATGATTAACTTCATTGAAAAACTTGTTGAGATGGGTGAGGAACATAAATAGATACATAACAAACATTATTGTATGAAATCGCAATTGCCGAAAAGTTATCAGAGTGTGGAGGCAGTGGAACATACGTGAAAATAACAGTTTTTTTTAATTAAGATTGCTACACCACCATATCCATCCAATCTGTCTTTTCTATGGCAAATGTATCCTTGCATATTAAATGATAAATTTGGCCGCAGCCAAGTCTCCGAAAGAGAGATAAGGAAAGGATTAAATTTGTTAATCAAATATATCAATTCACTTTTTTTATTAACTATGCTCCTGCAATTCCATTGTATAACTTTGGCTTGATTGTCCATTGTTAAGAATTTGTTTAAGAATATCAAATGTTTGAGCAACGTTGTTCGGTGAAATTATTTTACTTAGTAACAAAGAATTAATTAAAGGAATTACAACATCTGTAAATATGTCTTGTTTTTCATTCCCATTGGGTGTTAATGCACATCCGTTAGACGACATTGGGATTTCAAAGTCCTTAATTAGAGCTTGATGAGCTGCTTTGTCATAGCCTTTGTTGAAATGGGGAAGAGGTCGAGTTTTTAAAGAAACTGTCTTTTTATATGAGTTTTCAATGGTTGGTTAATATGTGATGACAAAGAATGTTGTGGCCTCATAGACTCAGCTGAATATGTGCTAGAGGGAACAGATTTAAGAATATCAACATAAGACTTAGTGACAGGGGGGAGCATTTTGGAAGCCTCTGCATATGAGATGCAGTTTTGTGCCATGGTCAATTTTATTTGTTTTTGTCTAGCCCATTCAGGACATGATTTGCTAATAGCAAAATGTGACCCAGAACAAAGGAAACAGAAAGCACAGTCATCATCTTTATTGCAAGAGTCACTTGTATGAACATCTCCACACTTAAAGCAGCTTGGTTTGGACCTACATTGAATTTTAGTGTGACCATATCGACAGCAGTTGTAACATTGTATAGTAGGATATGTGTAAAGTTCGACAGATAAAGCATTATAGCACATATAAATGTGTTTTGGAAGAACCTGACCATCAAATGTTATAACTACTGTCTGTGAAGGTTTCCAAACTGGAGACCCATCAACAGTTGTTTTATAATTTAATCGTCTTATTTTTAAAATTTCACCACAACCCATTGGCACAGTTATGTTATTTTTAATTTCATCTGGGGACCATTCAGCTGGCACTCCTCTTACAATACCCATCCTAGTTATGTTGAAGGTTGGAATAAAGGCTTTTAATTTCTGTGTAGACAAAGAAGGATGATTAATAAAAGTGTTTGCATCAGTAAAATTGGAAAATGCAAGGGAAATCTTGTTCCTACCAATTTTTTTTATACTGCCATTGATGATATTCCTAAATGCATTTTTTTTTAGAAAATTGCCAAAGGACACAGGGTGGAATGAAGTACCATCATTAAATGAAGATACTTCTTTTTGAACATGTATAATATAAGGTGATAAGTCACTGTTTTGGTAAATCTTTCTATATTCGACACTAAGTTGCTCGGGCTCTTTTGATTCTGTTGTTACTGGTGATGCAACATTATTTAGAATGGTGCTGTTCTCATCACTATCGCAATGACAGGCATGCTTAGTTTGGTCATTCTTAGTACCAGAATGACTGCTCCTCCTTTTTTTATTGCAATGTTTGCAAATTTTCTGCAAACGTGAGCGTTTTCTAATGATAAGAGTATTCGACGCATCAGTGTCCATACAAGACTCGCCATTAGAAACTTCTACATTGTACGCAACCTCGGGGACTCCACCCCCGGGATCAGGGGGTTCATTCATTATAATAAAATATATAAAACTTACCTAGGTATAGAAATTAAACTATTACTATTAATAATTAACTACACAAAGTAAAAAAATTACATATATACACAAAACTTCTCTGATTATTATCACTAAAATTAAATAAATGTGATTTAGAGAAAAAAACGCGCGCTTAGCTTTCAAAGTTTCCCGCCTTTTTTTCCCCTTTAATTTAAAATATGTTTACGTTATATGCATCCATATTCTTATAAAAATATTTCAGACACCGAACTTTAATAAATAGTACCTGGAGGAGCGAGCATTGCTCGGTTTTTTTTTGGTAAATCATGTATTTTGGAAATAAAAAAAAATAAAGAAAATGATCTGGTATAGAAAAAAAAAGTAAAAAAAATAAGTGTGTAAATGAGCGTGATACGAACCGGCCGTCCGTTTTGTGACCGCCCGATTACCGATCGAGCTATTATAACATTTCTTTTTGCGGCGAAATTTACTGTCATATTCGAATGATATTTTTCGTTCCCTGAAAACAGGGATAAAAGGACATTGTCTAAAAATGAAACCTAGCTAGATCAATTTTTCGCCCCCGACTCTACGCATATACTAAATTTCATGAAAATCGCTGGAGCCGTTTCTGAGATTCCGATTATATATATATATATATTATATATTTCATATATATATAACGACACGCTGTATATACAAGAATTGCTCGTTTAAAGGATAAGATTTGGACAGCCGGTGTATAATCCGCATAGCCATGAATGTTATGTGCAACAAACATTGATATGCAGAAGGAACAACGTAGGGGACATGATGCAGCCTTGTTGGACATCAGCGTTCACAAATTTAGCTTCAGAGCAAGCACCGTTAACAACGACCTTGATGCTCCGACAATTAAGAATACTAGTAATCCAGTTGCACAATTTCTCAGGAAGCCCGTAAGATGTAATCGTAGAGATAAGTGCTTTGCGCCAAACCTGATAAAAGGCTTTCGCTATGTCCAAACTAACCGCCAAGGAGGAGGCTGTTGAGACAAAGGGTGAGGCCTTTGTCTCAATAGCCTCGACCAATCGATGATTTAGGTACACAGGGAAGTCACCGGCTGAGCGACCGCGACGAAAGCCATACTAACGATCGCTAATGAGCTCAAGGTACTCCTCAAGGTACCCAAAGAGTTGGTAGTTAATAATGGACTTCAGTTCCTATAGTTCGACGGATTCGAACAATCATCTTTTTTGGGATCGGATGCACTAAAACCATCTTCCAATAATTTTGGACAACACCTAGGGAGTAAAAATGCCGGAAAAGACGCGATAGAACCTCACCAACTCTGGAGCACACGTTCTTATCACAATGGAAGGGATTCGGTCTGGCCCGCTCGACTTTTGGATGTCTAAAGAGAAGAGTGCTTTTCGCGCTGTGTTCTGCAGAAACCTAATTTCTGGCATTGTTTGCTCACACCGCAGGATGGTCGGCGGTGTGTTCACCTTATCATCCAGTGTAGAGTAAGAGGGTGCCAAAAAGTTCAACTTGTCACGTAATCTGTACCCATTCGGACATGGTTGATCAGTCGGTCTGTTTCGATATTGCCGCTATGTCGTCGTCGATGTCTACACGTAGCCATATGTTGGACGGGTACCATACCTTCGCGGCTGCTGAGACGACGAGAACAGATATCCTCTCTAACATATACACAAACTACGGCTCGAGGCACAAACGGGGCACGTATTCCGATCTATACCCCGGGTTATGATGTTTCAGCCGGAGAAGATATCTGAGTCTCAATCAAAAATAGCGAGAGAAAGTGAAGGGCTATCTGATTGCGGACGCCCAGAGGGGGATTCTCCAGATCTAAGAGTGCTGGTATCCCCTGGGGTATGTTCGTTTTTAAAACCGCTTCCATGATGTTGGCGGGACAGGGGGTGGGTGAAGTCAATCTTCTGCGAGGCCGTGGTACATCCCCGGTTTGAGGCGGCCCAAATCGGCTACAGCAAATGTCGATGCGTGGCTCTAACCCGTGTGTAATACTCGTGAATGTGCTTTTAAAAATACAGTCTTTGGAAAGACAGAGAAATACATTAGAATCGAATTCAGGTGATGTGAAGCAATTTTGGGTTAAATACGTTCAGAGCTTGACCAGCTTTCACTATATAAGGCACAGAAACCAAAATACAAACATTCTTTCGTTCTTAGAAGATAAATAGTAGAGAAATATTTAGTAATGCATAGTATGCTTATCGGGTGTTTTAATCAGTGCGCTGGCGGAGAAAACAATTATGTATTTCTATTTTCTCCGTCTACGATTTTGGAGTATTATTTTTGAAAAGTTGGTAACACTGACTTTGCTTTGTTCTGTTCTAGGGATACGCAACTAAAAAATATATCAATATTTACCGTATCGACATTTTGAAAAAGTATCGATACATATCGAGTAAAAAATATCGATATATCGTCTGTTTTCACATGATTATTCATGAATAATTATGCATGCTTATTTATGTACAAACCATTCAAAAGTCGAGAAAAGAATAGACTTGAAGAAAATAGTTAAAAAATATTTAAAGCCTATTGTACCCATGTGTCTTTAGTTATAAATCTTGTATTTCTATTGGTGTACAATAAAGTATATTTTACTTTTACTTTATTTTTTTAAAGTTGAGCATGCAAAGAGTATCTAGTGACACGAAACCAGAGTTGCGTTATAAAATGTATCGAAATTGACACGAATTCTATTTTTCAAAATAAATATCGATGTGTCTTTTGCCATGCCTATTCTGTTCTGTTCTGTAGGCGGTACATCGATATTTTTTTCGATGCAATGCATCGAGACTGTACATCGATATTTTCCGATGCATCGAATAGAAAAATTGATGTTTTGTCAACATCGAGTACTTTTACATTTTTTAATCATTTATTTTTCCTACAAAGAATACATGTAATTAAGAAAAAGATATTCAAGCAAACCTTCTCTCATTCAATTCAATTCAAATTTTAGTATAATGGCTCCATCAGGGAATAACTTGATGATTCTGCCAATGTCAAGGTTGAATAAAACAGTAAAGAATGAGATTAGCCGGTAATATTGGACTTTGTACGGTAGGTAGACTATTACGCGCATCCAGTTGAGTTACCTGAACAGAGGACAAACAATGGATTAGTGTATGAATAATTTGATATAATAAATTAGAACAGCTAAATGTTAAGGAGAATACATAGAACACATAATTAAGACAACAATACAATAGGGGAAAAATATAAGAAGTTATAGTCTTATGTTATTTAAACGGATAAATTATCTAGGACTTTAATAAAAAGGGATTCAGTGAGGGTTAGAAGGAATGGAATATTGACAGGCCTGGGAAAATTATAAGGTAGGATATCATAAAGAGGAACTGTAAGATTTTGACAGGAAAAAAAATAAATGTTCTAATGTGCCCTCTGCCAAGCCACATTGGCAAAGTGAGTGGTCACGTATATGCAGTTTAGCTAAAAACACTGGGGAGCAAACATGTCCTAAGCGAAGGCGTATTATAGTAGAGGTGACAATTTTATTTAAGGACCTAAATTTAAAAAACCAAGGTCGAGACAGTATATTGGGCTGAATCTTTGCATAATATTTCCCTTTTACAGTATTGGACTGTTTCCAGAAATTGTCCCACGTTTTCATTAGTCGCGGTTTGGCCAAGGAGCATAGGTCACGGGAAGGGATACTCGAATGACTTGTGTCACCTATATGTACAGCCTGTTTGGCATAAAAATCAGCAGCTTCGTTCCCCAAGATACCCATGTGTCCTGGGATCCAAGCTAAGACAATCTCAATACCTGCTTTTGCCAAATTATACAAAATTTCTTTTATTTTCAGGATAGATTGGGGATTGATGTTTACGATGAAAGGGGAGTTTCCTTAGGTCCTCTAAACAGCTTCGTGAATCGCTTAGAATTAAAGAGTTGCAAAAATGAATTCGATTAGCATCTATATATTTTACTGCTTCTAAAATAGCAATAGATTCACCCGTATAGACGGAGCATTCTGAAGGGCATTTAAAGGACAAAACAACATTATACTTTGGGATGTAAACAGAGACACCTATAGTTGACATATCTAATTTTGAAGCATCTGTAAAAATCAGGACCCAGTCTACCCATTTGTTATTTATAAGTGTATTGAATTTGTTATTAGCATCTACTGAATTTTTGTCTACCCCAAAGTTCAAAATGATTTTAGGCTGGAATACAAGAGAATCATAACTAGCAATAAAAAGGGGATGGTTATCTAATAGGAGGGCAGGAAATGACAAGGATTTATATGTATGGAAGCTATTAACCAACAATGGTATGGTTTTATTGTTCCAATATGGGGAAGAATTAATGGAGTAGGAAAGGAGACGTAGGGTTTTTAGTATGGGATGAGAGGGATACTGAACAGCATTGGAGAAATATCTGTCAGCAAGAAACTGTCTACGAAGGAATAAGGGAGGTTCCACACACTCTACTTGGAGGGCATTAATAGGAGAAGATTTCATAGCGCCTGTAATTATACGTAAACATTTTGACTGTATTTTGTCGAGCTTATTTAGAGCTAGTTTACTACATGGCTCCAGGATGAAACTGCCGTAATCAAAATGGCTACGCACAATGGCGTTATACAGTATTTTTTGAGAGAAAGGATGAGATCCCCAATGAACTCCTGACAAAGCTCTCAAAATGTTAGTATTCTTTTCACATTTGTTATATACATACTCTAAGTGATATACACCACTCAACCTTGAATCAAGAAAGACACCCAAAAACTTTATTCGGTCTTGGAATAAAATAGGCTCACCAGCTACAGAGAGTCTTAAATGGGGGATGTAACGTTTACGAGTAAAAGTAACAGCCTGACATTTAGGTATAGATAAATTTAGTCCATGGTCCAAAAGCCAAACATTTAAATAATACAAAGCGGTGTTTAATTGTGTACATCCATCCGACAGAGAGGAACAAGTGGCGTATAATGCTATATCATCTGCATACTGAAGTATTTTGCAGAAGCAGTTAACAGTTGAATCAAGGTCGGCAGTATATAGGTTGTAGAGTAGGGGACTTAGGACTGAGCCTTGACTTCTCTCATTCATTTGTTTATTAAATAAAGACGATTCGAAAACACAACTGTATGTCAAAAATTAATTAAAAAGTAAATAAACAAGTTTTTATATTTTAACATAATTTCATCCATCGCAGAGGGTCCGTTATGTGGAATACTTTCTTATTAAGAGGTCCCCCGATTGCAATGATTAGTTCTTTATTACATGACAGTCGTATTTTCTATTGTTTTTTTTTTGCTATTTTTTCTTTTGTGTTATTTTAATGAATTTTCTCGTATCTGCACTCTGATAAAATGAAAAGATTCTAACGACACTTCATAAATGAAGACACACACATACATGGATTGTCCCCAGTAATCGAAATTAGATCGTAATTTATTATACATGGTAGTATATGTATTTTATTTTTTTGTTGATTTAATACATTTTTTATGCATAATTAAAAATATATTAGTATTTTGCATTCCTATCCACCATCCACCATCTACCTACCATCTATATAAACTAAGTGTGGGAAATTTCACACTTTTCCGTTCGCGCAATTTTCAGAAAAATGGGTACAAAGTTTTTGCATCACATATTAATATATTGATTCTAAAAAAAACATAAAACTGTTTTTTGTGGGTGAGTCTTATTAAAAAAAACAAGTCTTTAGCTTCCTAACATTGATTCGATATTTTATGAAAATACATCGATACATGGAGTAAATTAACACCTTCTCAAAACATCGTATTGAATCGATGCATCGTATTGTAAACATCGATTGAATTCGATGCATCGATGTATATCGAATATCCCTACTGTTGTGTCTGTTTTCATTATTTTTGAAAGATCGCTTTTTCGCCTGTGCTGTTTGTGGTGTGACTTGACTAAATCGTATAATTACATTATTTGCCGATGAACATAAATTGATTATTTAATTGTTTGTTAGTAATACGAATATTATATTTTGTTGTGGTAAAAGGTAAATGTGATTTATATGTAATAATTTTTGTTCATGATCTATTTAAAGACAAACGATACCTATTTTTGTTATGGAAAATGGCGGCCTTAAAATTGAAAATTACTTGTTTTTAGATGCCTCAAATCAAGCTTCAGTCTTCGGACAATGAGATTTTTGATGTGGATGTAGAAATCGCAAAATGTTCGGTCACAATAAAAACAATGTTGGAAGATTTAGGTATGGATGACGACGAAGAAGAAGTTGTTCCATTACCAAACGTGAATTCAGCTATACTCAAAAAGGTTATCCAGTGGGCTACATACCATAAAGACGATCCACCCCTTCCCGAAGACGATGAAAACAAAGAAAAGCGGACAGATGACATTTCATCTTGGGATGCCGACTTTTTGAAAGTCGATCAAGGCACTTTATTTGAATTGATTTTAGCAGCTAATTACCTCGACATTAAGGGTTTGTTGGATGTCACTTGCAAAACGGTAGCTAACATGATTAAAGGCAAAACTCCTGACGAAATTCGTAAAACATTCAATATTAAGAATGATTTCACCGCAGCTGAAGAGGAACAAGTTCGCAAGGAAAATGAATGGTGTGAAGAAAAGTAATTAGTGACCCAAAAATGTTCACATATGTCAATACTTATATTTCGTGCTGGATAACAGTTCTCTTTTTATTTTGTTATCATTTGAGTAAAGCAGACATTTTTGAATGGTCTTATTACAATGCAGTTCAATTTGTGTTCTTATTACTATTTACACTTATTACTTATTTTTGTCTACAAATGATTTTGACTTTCTTATACTCTTTTGGTATGTGTAACACACACATATGTAATATATTTTAATAAATAATAATTTTAGAAATATGCTTCATGTAAAAACATTCAAAACCATTTATCATCTAAAATTTAAATGTGTATAAATTGTTTTCCATCCCATTGTATGTTCAATTATGATTAATATTAAGTTTAACTTTCATTAGTTTATTTGTATTCCGTATTAGTAAAAAAATATTTATTTCTGTATCTAGAATACTAGCTTAGTAGTTTTGGTTATCATTAAATTCTAAGTTATTATCTGCATAATATTTTGTTTCAGGAAGCTTGTATTTTACGAGAATCAAGTTAGCATAAATGTAAACATGTAAGACTATCACCCGGTTTTTGAACACTGATCATCATAGAAGTTAACTAATCAGCTGTCAAATGGCTTTTCAAATGTTATTTGAGTTGGTAAACTCTTTGAATTGTTAATTCTGATCATTAAAATGATCATTATGATTAATTCAGAGAGTTAATCTTTCTGGCAACTTTTGACATTTTATAGTTGATTAATCAACTTCTATGATGATCAGTGTTTCAGAAACCCGGGTGTAAGTATACATTTTTCAATTATTTTCCATGTTCAGTCTTAATCGTTTAATCCTTCTTCAGTAGATATCAAATCCCTCTTTTAAAAGAGAATTGTTTTTTGCATCAAGCTTTATAAAGGTTCTAAAAGCAAGAGATTTTTTCAATCTTTAAGGGTCTCAATCAACAACATAAAAGAATGGAAAATTGTGCTATGTTTAATGTGGATCCACTAATTTGTTTCAATAGTCTCTCACCATTATAATAAACATTGTTTTAATATCAAAAAGTTTGAGTGGTTTATTCTATCATTTCTGGGAAAAGGTGGATACACATATTTGCCCTGATGTTAGTGTATACTACTGAAATTATTATCCACAAAAATAATATCCAAACTTCATCAGGATCAGCATTGTTAACATTACTCATTAAATATCATTCTAAAATACAAATGCTTGAGTAGTCACTTAAATACTAGAGTAGCCACTACTTAGTATAAATCAAAGTCGTCCCGCTGCCGGTCTATGTACAGCGTGTCTTTACAATCGCGACAATAAATTAACACACATATAGGGGATAACCTTTTAAAATTGTATTATAAATTGACATTCTTTAAACATCAATATTTATCGAGATATTAAATTTTCCAAAACAAAGAACTTTAGAACACCCTTACGTATAAAACTGTAACGTAAAGTTCGTTTGTAAAGGTCACAAAGCATTGAACACAAAGGGTTGAAAGAATTTAAAAGAAAAAACGCTAAAATAACACTTCCTCTTCACGCCAATCTACCCTCTATGCCCAATCGTGCAAAAACTGCTACGTGGGCCGTCCACATCACTACATAGTGTAAAACAAAGTCGTCCCGCTGTCTGTCCCTATGTATGCTGTGCTATTAAAACTACGCAACGGATCTTGATGCGTTTCTTTTTACTAAATAGAGTGATTCACGGGGAAGGTTTAAATGGGTCAGCTAGTTTTATTTAAAGCTGAATCTCTCCCTGGGCCGCTTATCTGCATATTGGGGACCATTTTCAACACAACTCTCCAGCTGCTCCTTCCCGGACGACTGGAAAGAGGCCACTGTCATTGGCATTCGCAAGCCGAAGAAACCCGCTAATAAGCCCTCTAGTTATCAGCCTCCTACACGAGCGACATACCGAGCGAGTTCTACACGCGCGACATACCAAAAGACCCACACGTCAATCTCACACTTTTCGCGGATGACACGGCGCTCTTTTACACACATAAAAATCTTAAATCACTACTCGTCTCCAAAGCGCCGCCGACTGCCTCGGCGATTGGTTCCACAAATGGAGAAAAGAAGTAAATCCGGCAAGACTGGCGATTCATTTCACATGAAGTACTTACCCGTCACACCTTTATAAAGGCCCTCGCCAATGCAGAAAACTAGGGCAAATACTGCCAACGACTCCCCTGGGAGAAAAGGTCAAATATTTACGAGTCACTTTCGAGTCACGCATGACGTTCACATCTCATATTAACGACTTTAGAAACAGCCGCGTTTGTCTCCGGCCGACTCTATCAGCTATCACCTAACCAATGCGTCAAGTAAAATGCCCTTAAGGCAAAAAATTATTATTATATAAGTCCTGCGTAAAACCTATCATGTCTTACACGTGCAGGACCTGCGCCCGCCCACATAAACCCCTACTCGCTTGTACAAGTTGCAAATAGTACCTACAAAATAAGTTTATGTCCCGCGCAAAAAGTGCGCAGTGGTATCAACCCAACGTCGACCTGCACAGTGACTGCAAACTCCCAAAGATTCGCGAACATTTTAAAGATCTCACCAAATCACCAAATGGTTGTTCGACAGAGCTGAACATTTTCCCAATCATCTGGTGGTAAGGCCAATTACGAACCCGACACGAACGCGAACGTCCACTACGTCGGACACACTCAGTTTCTCGCCTTCGAGCACGGTGAAACCATTACGCGTACACTAGGTACACCGGCGTTCCTGGGCGGTTCTAACCGTCTCCAGCCACCGACTAACCAAGCACAGTCAACGGCCATCGGGGTCAAGGTCCGCACCGAACCTCGATGGCCTGTAGGCGACATGCCATAATTAACGCACGCATGAGTACGGTACTTGCGTGGCCCTACCCACTGAGGAGGGCCTCAAACCCGTGGATTCTGGCTAGCTCACCGGTTCTGCGTTCGATGAAGCTTTAATAGTCTAAGGACTGAAAGCGTAACATCAGTTTTACAAAAAAATTAAAGCTTCATTTTCAGCACTTTTTAAAAAAATAAGTTTTTTTTTGCATCCACAATTAGCGACCAAAGTCATGTATAACTTAGTTAAAAAAGTCATAAATAAACTAGTTACTAAGTAGTTTCAACTTCTAGGCGAAACAGACTGATGCTTACTATGAGAAGTTACAGGTTGTTTTCCATTATATAACTTATAACATGTGGCCGGAGTAAGGCGGGATAGTGCCCTTCGGTTAACATTAGATGAATAGATTAGAAGTTCTTGTAGAAAAACGTTATAAGAAATTAAATATAATATTAGAAATAACAAAAAAACAAACGCAGCGAACAAGTCTTCTATTCTTATTGGCAAAATAAATGATATTTGAGACTGTGGGCTATCTCTGTATGCATATTTAGAAAAACATAATTGCTCTTAAAAAAGTTGGGAGAAGTCGTAGCTTGCAAAGTAAGCTAGATCAATGGAATGCCTTTTCAATAGCGAAGAGAAGTGCACGAAGCTCGAAACCCTTATTTTAAGAAACTGGGTTAAGAAAACCGATTACCTATATTCCAAAACTTAAGCTTAAACTTAAACTATAGCAATCGATGATGAAATGAAAGTATACCTATCCAAGTAATAGCAAAAGCGACAAAATTTCAATTCGTTGTAATAGAGGTTGCATTGTGGTAAATTTTTATTAATTAATATTGTATACAATAATTCTAAATCTTAAGTTAAAAAGGATTAGTATCTGTGTTTTGTATACTAATTAAATTATCTATAAAAATGTTACATCTAAGCAATACAGCGAAAAGTTTTATCAATCGGATACATTTCTGGAATAAAGAAATTATCTATACAAGTAAATATAAGACTATTAAATTTTCCATGTCTTGTCGTGCACGAGGCCGCTCCCACGAGTAATCCAAAGAAGAATGCAATCAAAAGCAAAATAATAAGCGAATATTCATATTTTTTAACATTAAGAAGAGTTTCCTTGCACAAACACAAAACGTCGTAAGGAGATCTGAAAAAGGAAATAATAGTTTAATGCTGTTTCTGTTTACCTGAAGTTCTCTGCAAACCAAGTGCATTTATGATTTATCTTTTTTTAATACTAATTTATGATCATGATTAACATTTAATAACATTACACAAGAAATTCCTCTTCTTTCAAATCAGACCAGTAGTCCCTGAAATTAGCGAGTTCAAACAACTCTTGAGTTTTATAATCTTTATATATATAATTCTTCTGTACGTGTGTATGTCACTGAACTCCTCCTAAACAGCTGACCCGATTTTAATGAATTTTTTTTGTGTATCTTCAGGTGGATTCGAGAATTCACAAAGTTATTCAACAAAAGTTGTTGAAATTTTACAGGATAACGTCTGTCCGGTCCGCTAGTATAAGTAAAGATATCTTCCTTTTTTTTATCCGTCCCATTACTACTAAAAATACTTTCTATTGCGGTTTATGTCGATATTGGCCCACCGCTTTCCCTGGTTCCTGGCATATTTTCTGTTTAGCAGATCCAGGGGCGAATCGAAGTCGGGTTGAAGATCATTCTAACAGTAGAAAAAGGGTTCCGTACGTACCCAAAAAGTAAACCGAGACCCTATTACTAAGACCCCGCTGTCTGTCTGTCACCAGGCTGTATCTCATGAACCAAACCAACAACAAATGTTAACGAATAGTTAGACTGTTGAAATTTCATAGATGATTTATGTCTGTTGCCGCTTTAACAAAAAATACTAAAAAACAGAATAATTTATTTTTTGAATGGGGTTCCCATACATTAGAAATGTTTTTTTTGGCGTTTTTATACATAATTGTAGGGAACCCTTCGTGTTCGAGTCCGACTCGCACTTGGCCGGTTTTTAACTTTATATAAACTTAAGATCATCATCATTTTACAGATCATAATATATAATTAACTATAGTTTCATCCAATTCTACTGTATCCATCATATAGCATTTTATCGCACAGATCTTAAATGTGATTCTTTAAGTTGATTAATGTTTTTTTATTTATAAACAGATTTAAATAAAACTAACATTAAATGTTAAGTGAAGCATACTAAGTACAATGCATTAGTGAAAGTTGCAGCCAAATAGGTTAAGCCGTTTCTGAGATTAGCGCGCACAAACGCACAGATAAACAGACAACATTTTTAAAAATCATTGTTTTGGGTTCTATTGTCTTGATAAAGGCCCCTAATAATAATTTTTTTCAAATATCTTCTATATACAGACAACGACCAGTTACATTTTTATTATATGTATTGAAGATATAGATATAGGCAATGGGAAAAAAGCATATTTTTATAATAAGCATATTTTTTCTCTATAAACATGGCCACCAAGCACTGACATGCGCGTGCCACGCATGTAACGTCAACAATAATTGGCGGTAAAACCGAAAATATTTTGCCGGTGCATGCCGGTACGCAACGTTCCCGAATCCGTTGCGCGAAGGCGGCGAAACGGCGAGCATACGGGCTATAACTGCGTATAATAACCGTTCATAGGTATTTAACATTCGTCGTAGGTATTTAAGTATATAATTATATCATTACCAATGCCAATGCTCTCATTGACAATTTTCTTCTAGGGAACGTATCGTGATAATGTTCTCAACAAAAAGAGTCAATCGCCCTTCCTGTCGAGTATGCCTCGCACAAAAACAGGCGCATACTACAAACACAACCACGGGAGCGCACGGATATGACACGTGGATGATATGCAGATGCTCCCATCACTACACCGGTATGATACGCTCTAAGGGGCATAGTAGAGCATATGCTTCTCGATCCTGATACGTTCACAGCAAGGCAGACTGCTTAAAATAAATTCAGTAATCTTGTATCTTGTATTAACTGATGTTTGTGCTTTCAGTCCCGTGACTATTAAAGCTTCATCTGACGCAGAACCCGTGGGCTAGCCAGAACCCACGGGTTTGGGCCCTCCGCTGTGGGTAGGGCCACGCATGTGCTCATGCCTGCGTTTAACTACGGCATGTCATCTAAGGGCCATCGAGGTTGCGGTGCGGACCGAGACACCGATGGCCGTCGACTGTGCAATTAGCTAATCGGTGGCTGGGAGCGGTGAGAACCGCTCTGGAACGCGGGTGTACTTTGTGTACGCGTTGTGTTGGTCTCGCCGTGCTCGGAGGGGAGGGCGAACTAATGTGTTTGTTTCTAAACTAACTGTGTGTGTAGTGTTATCCGGCGGGACCCCCGACGGTGGGTCCGACGTACCTAAGTCTCCTTCCTCGACCGGGTCGATGAGGACGTTTCGCAAGCGACGCTTGTTGATGCTCGCGTTTGGATCGGGTTGGTAATTTGCTGCGTTTACCACCAGAGGGTTGGGATGATGTTCGGCTCTATCGAAGAACCGTTTGGTCGCTGTGCAGGTCGACGTTGCGTTGATACCACTGCGCACCGGTTGCGCGGCGGATGAACTTATTTTGCACTACCTGCAACTTGTGCAAGCGAGTAGGGTGCGTGTGGGTGAAAATCATGCATGCGTAGTACATTATTGGCCGTACGCAAGCTTTGTATAAAAGTAATGTGTATCTTAAAGATGTTTTACTTGACTGGTTAATTAAAGTGCTTAGCCGGCCGGAGACGAACGCGGCTCTATACTATATTTGACCTTTTTCTCCCAGGGGAGCGGTTGGTCATAAAGAGATATTTGCCCTAGCTTTCAGTAATCAATTCGGCTAATATTCCGAATAGTACGTCTCGTTTTTCAAGCTAGAAAAAAATTTTAATCGATAGAGAAATGTTAATAATTAAATATTATATAAGTTATAATCAATGAAAACCACTAGATTATGAGGAAAAAATTAACAAAGTTTTTAAATTCCATACAACTGAAATCCGTCATTACTGTGCGTCCATTATTCATTATAGACTATTATTTTAAGTTAAAAACTTACGTTTTCACTTTTTACGTTGTAAGAAGACACAAATACACGGATATATCACAAAAAAACAAGTTTCTACTTCATGAACATGTATTATTAACAATTTCTAATATTTAAAATTTGTGACTTAGGGTACACTTAATGTCTCGAATATTAGGTTCAAAATGAGTCACAGATCCGACACAGAGCGATCCGACTCGGATAGGTTAGGATAGAAGGTTAGCCTTCGATGTTACGTTTTTTTTTTTTTATGACCACCCAGAAAACTTTAGTGTAACAGTACTTTTAGTATTTTTAAAGACTCTTTTTTTAATAATGCGAAGGTTATAATTTGGAAAAGTGAGTGAATTCTTAAATTTATACATGTTGTCAAACACAAAATGGCGGATTTATTTAGTGAAAATAACAAGTTTTAAATATTTTTTTTTATTAAAAGTAAGTGTTTGCCTTGGTTTTCACGTATGTAATATTTAATTATTAACATTTCTCTATCGATTAAAATTTTTTTCTAGCTTGAAAAACGAGACGTACTGTTCGGAATATTTAACATTAATTCATCTATTAAGTTATAAAATGGAAAACAACCTGTAACTTCTCGTATTATCACTAAGCAATCTGTCTGTTTCGTCTAGAAGTTTCTGAAGTTGTTGTTGGGCTAGAGCGATGACCGGACACTTTTTATGCAGTATATTAGCTATTTCGGTTTCTGGATCTAAGTCGCAACTACATCCAGCTGTTGCAAGTCTTATTTCATCCAGTCGTAAGTCATTTCTGGGCGAGGAATCTGCCATTTCAGATTCTACATCTTCTCGGGGACTCGACACAAAGTTTTCGATAGAACCACTTGATTGATTATTTCGATAAGTTTTCCTCGAGTAGCGATAAATATTCTGAACATGATATTCATCTGTTGTCATAAGTTAAGTTACGATTTTTCTATACAGATATATGAAGTGTGTTAGTGAATTAGTACGTGAGAAGAAATTGCTTATTAATCAAGATTGACAACAGAATTACGTTCGATTTGACGTAGAATATAAATACCAAAATAGTTAAAAGTAATCAAAGCAAGTCTTTACCGATTAAAATAAAATATAGTGAACTTAATTTTTGTGTAAAAATAAAATATATTGAGAAAAAAAAAGTATTTCTCTACTCAAAACAACTCTCCATCACACCCAATTGTGGCTGTAGATGAGGAAATCGCCAAATAGCGCTGATACATTTACAATATAAACTGTTCAAGCTATGCAATCGACGACAATACACTTACAATGTCATATATACCCTGTAGTTCCATAAGCGACGTCATTTGTATACCGTCACAGGTATCCAAATGAGGTCGATAATCATACGCTTACGCCCAGCTGAAACACTGATCATCATAGATGTTAACTAATCAACTGTCAAATGGCTTTTCAAATAAAATTTAAGTTGCCAAATGATGGTATTTGAATTGATAATTCTGACCATGGAGATAATTGTGGTATCTGTATTAATGATTTAAAATACTCTGTATTTATAACTCTCGTGTTAAAAATGTAGGCATGTTTTGTTTCTACGAAGACATCCAAATATGCTATATATTTTCTGCTGCTGACATCAACATTTGTTATGAACATTCTGTTGTCCTGTTTTTAATGTGATAACTTGTCAGGCGAACAAAGGCTGTTCACCAGATGTTGACATCTACAACACCCGTGGCTTGCTCCTGCGTCAACCTTCAAAAAGTAGGCCTCAGTTACCTCACTCACCAGATGAAACGAATTTAGTACTTCCACTTGGAGCGTGTTTTCTGTGAGGCTATTTTACTTTCCCGGACGAGCTTGCTCATTCTTGTATCAGCAAAATCTGTTTCGTTGCCCTTCCGCAGTAGTGAAAGTTCATAATATTGTAATATATCTATAAGAAACGTTCATAAAATCATTTAATTTAAAATATTATTTATCTATATCAATTTCGAACAGAACATGGAGAACAAAATCAAACTCTTAGCAACAGTCGGGGCGCTGTTACTTTCTTTTAAACTAAGGTTCAAGACAGATTAATAAAATGACGATTGATACAGGTGACTCAGGATTCTGCTCCGTGACAGTCTATGGGGAAGGCCTATGTTCAGCAGTGTACTCTAACAGGCTGAAATGATCTTGAAGGAAAGATTAGTTTAGAACGACATCTCAAACAAGGTTCTATTGTGGTGTTAATTTTGATAAATAAATACAATATGGGATATGGGCACACACTATTAGAGAAATAGGGATAAGGGATAGTATAAGGAGTGACTAAAACTCATTCATAAACAACACATTTAATAACATGTCACAGCAAATTTCTTTGCATTATTAATTTCACATTGTATATTAATATTAACTACAAAAACGTAGCCATTTTACATTCCTATAACAAATCACCTGGAACAGCACTAAATATTAACATATATTGCACACTTAACTGAAATTATCCGCCAAACGATTGATGCATTATCTTCTTCGAATATTCGTAGACTACGAACAAGGTGGCGGTGGCTGGTATTGTTCTTATAAGCGTTGGCTTAAGTCCGTTGTAAAGGGCTAAAACACCTTAAAAAATAAAATAAAAAATGTTTAAAACAAAGAATAGATAATAAAGATTAGGATAGAACAAATTGAAAAAATCTATTATAATTTGAACAAAAAAATATCAATAACATTTATTCCATTTAAACCCTGTTACCACGCTATTTATTTTATTTTTTCATTTTGGAAAATAGAAGTTTATATGGCAGAAGTTTGATAGTGTTTCCTTTAAATTAGTACCGTTTATTAATTTTCCCTCTTTCTTTTGGAATGTTTCAGAACACGTTTAGAAGAATTTTAAGGTTGCCTGACGGTAGACATCACTGCTGTTTTATAAAGCGACAAACACTTGCGGTGCTCTTTTTTACGCTATCCTTTTTATACCATTCGAACGAAATGTGTGAATGTGTTCTGTCACTTTGTTTGAAAATAGTAACTCTTACGATCGGCGATTTTGTATGCGTATAACTTATCTGTAGATGGTAGAAAAAATTATTTGATTTGTAGACGTGTCTTTTTCAGGCGTGCAATTTTCTTTGCGCCTTTCGTGGCAAATGCATGTGCTCGACAAATTGATTAAACAAGGGCCTATGACGCTGTAGGGAGCAAAATATTGGGTCCACATTTGGTATTAGCAATATTTTCACCTTCAAAAAGTTAATATAATAAGAATTAACGTGCCATATACCGCAGCGGTTAAAATAATCAATATGTATATTGTATATTACTGATATCTATTGCTACTACTGGCTTCCGCGACTCCGTTTGCGCTACTTACTATGCACGGAAAGAAAACATATCACTGAACACGTAGTGCTTATAAAAATTGTATTTTCTTAAAACTTTAAATTTTTACCTTAAATGAAGGTAATATCACAAAAACCTTTTTTTTAAAAGGGCCCAGAGTCTGAATCTCGATATAATCGCAAAATATTGCGAACATCGAGGAAGTGTTCTATAATTTTATTTATATAGATTTACTGTAACTGAACCAATATCGCATACAATTATAAAAATGTATCGCTGTAATTGCAGTAACTGGTAAGTATACAAACCGAAGCATTCTATGAAACACGATAGCGTCTTGATGTTTGTCGAGACCAATGTTTATCCTTGCAATACAAATGGGTTTCGCAACCGTTTGACATTTATTATCTTTGTTTAGTAACTATATATAGACACATACTTGTTAACCAACATTGGCAAATGATAACAACTATTGCATCTTATTATATACGGCGGAATAATTACTTATATGCGAACAATGCACATTCTTAAATTAATCTATTATTTTAGTTTAAACTTAACGTCGAAAAGCTTACGAAAAGTCGGCGATTTCAATTTGAATTAAACTAGATAAATTGATAGCGATTAATCGCTATTAATATCAATGATAGTATTTGGGTTCTTCGATGTATTTGGCCTCACAATTGAAGCCGTAGAGACTCCAAGGAAAATTGCCGGCTACTTCAGCCAGGAATTTAGCCAGCTTAGATCTATGCATACCATTGTGAACACTATATGCATATCATTAACTATGTTGGGGCCACGCAAGTGTTCGCTGTTGCACGAATGGGCAGGTCTGCCCGGTAAGTACCACGATCTCATAGAAGACCGGCATGACGTGGAAGTTTTATACTTTTGTCTTCGTCTGGTGAGTGGGGTGGCCGGTGTCCACTTTATAACAAGGCGGCAACGCATGGTGGTATTGCAAATGTCAATGGGCGGCGGTTATCACTTAACATCAGGTGAAGCACCAGCTCGCTTACCACCTCACCTTCTCACATAAAATACGTATCCTAATTAGCCTCACATGTAAAGCCATTGGGACGAAATTGCCGACGGTTTCAGTCTGGAATTTAGCCAGTTTAGATCTTTTATTAATATCATTGTGAACACATGTTTTATCATCAATTTATCATACTATTGTTCATCATATTCAGATACATTAAACGAGAATTAAATTTAAACCCTTTTACATTTCCAACTTTATTGATTTGGATTGAATTTGTATCGATAAATTTTTTGCAGATCCGCGTGTAACGTGAAAAATAATGCGTATCTGCTTTATGTAAAAACATAAATTGTAACGTATAATTTTGGAAAGGTTGTAAAGTTAGTTTTATTAAAATTTTATTGGAAAGAAAATATATTTTTTTTAATTAAACCCAATGAAATTTAGCATGGCTTTTAGCTCAGAGCCGTGATAGCTCAGTGTCCGGGCGCTCGCCTTTAATTCAATATGCTCGAGCAACCTGAGTTCGATCCCCGGTGCCGGCACCAATAAAGTTTTTAACTTTAAGTGCTGACTTATCACGTGCTCCGCGGTGAAGGAAAACATCGTGAGGAAACCTGCATATTTTCGAAATAATAACAAAAAAAATATATTTCGAAGATCTGTGAAGTCCGCCAATCCAAAGTGGGGCCGCGTGGTGGACTATGCCCTGATACCCTCTGTATAGAGGAGGCCTTTGCCCAGCAGTGGGACATGTATAGGCTGTTACTTTACTTTTTTTTAGCTTTCTCCAACTACCTCATTAGGATTAAAATTTGTCCAGAAGTTACTTATCAAAACTTTCGATGTTATAGGCATTTTCAGTTGTTAACATTACGGCGTTTGATAAAAAAATGTCCAACTAACCGCTCGAGTAACTAGAAATCTTATCAATGTCATTCTGCCATATAAGTTATCAGCGCGGCCTTTTAACCTACTTAACTAAAAGGCGTACGACATTCCTATCTTTACTATTTCATATGATCACATAACTTTTATAGTTTGTTGAAAATCAAGTTCAAAAACATTTGAATATCGAATCCCAAATCTCGGTCGAATAGCTTGTGGTTATATACTTTACAGCTTATTACTTTTTGTTTTTAATTGTTTAATGTCAGCTATTACAGACACGCAAACAGTATACATACTAATGCGTTTTACAATCAAATCAAGTTTGGTACTAATATGTACTTGCATTATGGCAGGTATGTACAACATTTGGAACGTTTACAAATGTGACCTAATTGCTTACGGACCTTCCTTCTTAACGATCTCATAACCGACTGTTAGGAACTTCTGCTTCTCGTTCGATATCTGGACCCGGGACTTGATCACGTCCGTGGGGAAGATGACCGTCCACAGAACACAGCCGCCGACCGCTCCGGCGACCATCGTCTTGAAGAAGCCTATGTCTTCTTTCGATTGGCCCGACTTCGCTAGGAGCTCTCTTGTACCTGAAAGCGGGAGGGAAATGGCATAGTACCTGCATAAGAATACGGTGTTATGTCCTTTTCGCGGTTTACGGCGTTCATTGCCACGAGAATTGCTAATGAACGAGCAGCACTTGTATTAGTTTGACTGGTTTAAATTATTATAAATAGATTAGTTTTCAGAACATTATTTTAATCTCAAACTGTCAAACGACAATCTATATCATATCTCTGGGTATATGGATAAATATACTTAAAAATATTATTGAATATACTCTTCTGTATATCAATTGATATTACAGGTAATTAATGAATATCCAAACTTTAGAAAACACTATGAATGTGGCATCAAACCCACACCCTATCACCCAAAAATCAGAAAATATAGTTGAGAACTAATTTCCACTAACTAGTCTATTTTTATCTAAGAACTGTAGCAATCATTATAGTTAAATAATTAAAAACATACAATTTGTTGGACTCTAAGGTTTGCCGTAATTAGTTCCGGATAAGCGTGGTCCAGTAAGATAAGCTGTATGTATATGTAGTTATTGCGTATGATATCGTGGACATTAATAATGTCTCATATACATCCACAATATATGAGTTCGCTTCTCGGACTATCCTCGCGAGTGACCGTTGCCTAAAGGCCCATTTACACGGTGCCAGTTTCTTGCCTGTTGTATACAATTAAATTGAAGCAATAAATGAGTTGCATGGTCTAAACAATTATTGCGCGCAATTTATTGCATTCAATTATTGCTCTTGTATGTACAAGAAAATGGCATCGTGTAAATGGGCCTTAATTCTAATTCTTTTTTGTCATTTTTCTTATAAAGTAACAGCCTATACGTGTCCCACTGCTGGGCGACGGCCCCCTCTGTACAGGGTTGTATCAGAGCACAGTCCACCACGCGGCCCCTCTGCGCATTAGCGGACTTCACATATCTTCGAAATATTTGTTTTTGTTATTTTCTCGTAAATATACGAATTACGTAATTAGTTCCGGATAAGCGTGGTCCAGTAAGATAAGCTGTATGTATATGTAGTTATTGCGTATGATATCGTGGACATTAATAATGTCTCATATACATCCACAATATATGAGTTCGCTTCTCGGACTATCCTCGTGAGTGACCGTTGCCTAAAGGCCCATTTACACGGTGCCAGTTTCTTGCCTGTTGTATACAATTAAATTGAAGCAATAAATGAGTTGCATGGTCTAAACAATTATTGCGCGCAATTTATTGCATTCAATTATTGCTCTTGTATGTACAAGAAAATGGCATCGTGTAAATGGGCCTTAATTCTAATTCTTTTTTGTCATTTTTCTTATAAAGTAACAGCCTATACGTGTCCCACTGCTGGGCGACGGCCCCCTCTGTACAGGGGGTATCAGAGCACAGTCCACCACGCGGCCCCTCTGCGCATTAGCGGACTTCACATATCTTCGAAATATTTGTTTTTGTTATTTTCTCGTAAATATACGAATATTAAAATTTCATTCCGGGAATTGAACTCGGGTTGCTTGAGTATATTGAATTGAAGCCGAGCACCCGGACACTTAGCTATCACGGCTATTTTACTCATGATTTTCATAAATTGTCATAAAAGCTTTGTTCTTCATTATTCATCATTAATAATTGTCGGTCCGTATTTTCTTTATTTATTGAAAATTAGCACGGTTGAATGGCCGTCACCATAAAGGTTCTTTTTTATGTTAGAAGTTGGCAAGCGAGCTGGCAGGTCAACTGATGTTAAGTGATTTGTTTGCAGATGCGTTGCCACCTTTTAGTAAAGTGGGTGCCGATTACCTCACTCCCGAAACGGACCGGCCCATTCGTGCAAAAGTGAAGACTATTGCATGGCTAATGAACCAAATTAGAAATAGCAGGCGAATACGTTTTTATAAGTGCAGATTACTTATTCTACAAATAAAATAATCGATTATTAGCCTAAAATAATTAGCCCTATTACTAACACTCCGATGTCTGTTTAATCTAAATTATTAATAATCATAACTTTAGATGATGTATTTCTGTTGCCGCTATAACAAAAAATATTAAAAATAAATAATATTTAAGAGGACTACCATTCAACAGACTTGGTTTTTTTTGCCGTTTTTATAGATAACTGTACAGAACCCTTCGTGCACGAGTCCGATTCGCACTTTAGTGTTTAAGTGTGTGTGTTTCACCTTAAGTGTTTTACAAACACTAAAAAAAAGGATTTTAAATAACTAAAACGTTAGTGTACACATACGCGAAGTGGGAGCAAGACAGAAAACGATTGAGACGGCGGCAGCGCGAACGAGAGGGCAACATAGACCGTCTCCCCTCGCAAAGGAGATGTTGGTTTAGACTTATGACATTTAGTAATTAGACGGATGATGGTTTGGAGTGTACCTGCAAAATGTCTCGAACGACGTCAGTTTCTCTATAGAAAGTCTTCCATTCAAGATCTCGCATGTGCACATACCTTCGTATCCGCCGAAGAAGAAGAAGTATCCCGGCATCTCCCTCATGATCGTCGGCACCAGCCCCCTGAACAGGCCCTGTATCCCATACCGCCTGAATATTTGCTGCGACAATTGGAACGGCGTCACCCTGATCTAAAAATGTGACGTCATTAAGATTACTCGTGCGCGCGGTTACAATAACATATGGTCGATAGCGCAACTTAAAGGCATTTTTATATCACGGGAGTAAGAGAAGTATTTTTGGTGTAAATATGATGTGGACAGCAAACTGATTAATTTTGCGAATTTCAATGTATTCCATTTTTTTCCACTTATTCATAATTGTGAGGGATTACGGACGCCCATTGACAAGATAACACACACACGCATGTGTAGCTATCCTGTTTCTAGAACAGTTTTTTGAAATTAGATATAAATAGAAATTCAATAAAAAACTTCGCCAGAATTAAATTAGGGTAGGTTAAAAAATTACGTATAGTTTTAATTAATTTAAGGAAATAGCATAATCACGAAAAATTATTTATTTTGTTTATATTTTCTTTTTGAAAATGAAGTTTTTCATTCCTGGCATTAGGGAACAATAACAAGTAGATCAAAGCAGTCAATCTCAACTAAATATATCAACGCCTTCGATCAGGATAACAAAGGTAAAATGGCAGCAATCAAGGGATCAACTTTAATGATTAACGCCAGGACAGTCCCCGAACTGTAAAGAATGAAAATCGATATGGCTTTCATCCAGAACTCGTTAATTTTCATTGAGGTTAGTATACAGTTAGGGCGATCGATTTAAAAAAAGAAAGTAATGTACACATAACGTAAGTAATTCAGGTTGGATGTAATAACATTATTGCAATACAAACTTAAAATGTTATTAATCATATTCAGAGGAATACCCAAAGGCCATCATACAGCTGATTGTGAGCCCTGCACATTGACTTCCCGCATTGCCTGCAACTGGCACTTTATCAACTCCGCTGGACACAGTGTAAAGGAAGAGAAGAAAGCCGCCAAAAAACCAGCCGTTGCATTACCCATGGTTGTTAGTTGCTCTGCACTCTAAAACATAAATAGAAATAAAATTTTTATGAAATAAACTTAAACACCTTTTGAAGTTATACTTCTCTCAAAAATCGACATGATGCTTGGTAGCCTATATAATCTTGGCAAACAGTTGAAAGTTATTTAAATAAACCATGATCAATTGCATTTCATGTATTAACGCTAAAGAAGTATAACTTCTTATGTACATACATAAGTACACAAATACTGTTTCAAAACAGAAGCATCCTTAAGACACCTTTGGCATTTTGTCTTGTATCTTGTATTAACTGATGTTTTTGCTTTCAGTCCCGAGACTATTAAAGCTGCATCTGACGCAGAACCGGTGGGCTAGCCAGAACCCACGGGTTTGGGCCCTCCGCTGTGGGTAGGGCCACGCATGTGCTCATGCGCGCGTTTAACTATGGTGTGTTATCCAAGGGCCATCGAGGTCGCGGTTCGGACCGAAACCCCGATGGCCGTCGACTGTGCAATTAGCTAATCGGTGGCTGGGGGCGGTGAGAACCGCCCCGGAACGCGGGTGTACCTTGTGTACGCGTTGTGTTGGTCTCGCCGTGCTCGGAGGCGAGGGCGAACTAGTGTGTTTGTTGTTGCACTAACTGTGGGTGTAGTGTTGTCCGGCGGGACCCCGGGCGGTGAGTCCGGTGTATCTAAGTCCCCTTCCTCGACCGGGTCGATTAGGACGTTTCGCGGGCGATGCTTGTTGACTTTCGCGTTTGTGTCGGGTTGGTAATTTGCTGCGTTTACCACCAGAGGGTTGGGATAATGTTCGGGTCTATCGAAGAACCGTTTGGTCAGGTCTTTAAAATATTCGCGAATCGTCGGCAGTCTGCAATCGCTGTGCAGGTCGACGTTACGTTGATACCATTGCGCACCGGTTGCGCGTCGGATGAACTTATTTTGTACTATTTGCAACTTGTACAAGCGAGTAGGGTGCGTGTGGGCGAAGGTCATGCATGCGTTAGACATAATAGGTCGTACGCAGGTCTTATATAATAATAATTTGTGCCTTAAAGGCATTTTACTTTTAGCGTTAGTTAAATTGTTTAGCCCGCCGGAGACGAACGCGGCTCTATTGCGAACGTTATTAATGTGCGTAGTAAATGACATACGCGAGTCGAAAGTGACTCCTAAGTATTTGACCTTTTTCTTGCAGGGGAGCGCTTGGCCATAAAGGGATATTTGCCCCAACTTTCTGCATTGACGAGGGCCATTATAAAGATGTGACGGGTAAGTACTTCGTGTTTATTTTTATTCTCCATTTGCGGAACCAATCGCCGAGGCGGTCGGCAGCGCTTTGGAGTCGAGTGGTTAGTTGTCTAAGGTTGCGGTCTGAATAAAAGAGCGCCGTGTCATCCGCGAAAAGCGCGAGATTGACGTAGCGGTCTTTAGGTATATCGCTCGTGTAGAGCGTAAAGAGCAAAGGTGAGAGGCAGGAGCCTTGAGGTACGCCGGCCGGAGGGCGGCTTGTGGAGAGGGTGCTTTCAACTCGATATCGAAAAGAGCGGTTCGACAGGAAGGGCCGGATGGTGTGTACGAGCCTATCTGGCACTTTGAGTGTGTACAGCTTGTAAAGCAAGCCGTTGTGCCAGACCTTGTCGAATGCTTTTGCGACATCGAAGAAAAGAGCCCCTGTACTAAAATGTTTAGGGTGATTTAGGCCTTTTAGGATATGTTCCGTTAGGCGGAATAGTTGATCGGGACAGGAATGTCTAGCTCGAAAGCCGAATTGTTTCGCCGGCAGAAGGCCGTTGGAAAACACGTGCTCATTGAGCCTGTTTAATAAAAGCCGCTCGTAGAGCTTCCCCAGGCAACTGAGGAGGCTGATGGGACGATAACTAGGGGGCTTGTTGGCTGGTTTATTCGGCTTGCGAATGCCGATAACCGTGGCTTCTTTCCAGTCGTCCGGAAAGGAGCAACTGGGGAGTAAAGTTTTGTAAATGGTCGCCAGTAAACAGATAAGCGGCCCAGGGAGAGCTTTAAGAATTTTGTTACTAATATTATCTGGGCCCGGGGCGGATTTGGGTTTTAAGTTTTTAATAATATCTTGAACCTCTTCGGGGGTCACTGAATTCAAAGGATCGCCTTCCGGTGGTAGCGCAACCCTAATCTCGATTACGCGGTCCACCTCCGTTAGGTGGGCTGTATCGATGTGTTCGCGCAATGGCGTACATTGCTGCTCTAGGTTGTCCGCGAGGCATTCGGCTGTTTCGGAGTCATCTAGGGCTACTGAAGCGCTATTAGGTCTAGCTAACGGCGGTAGAGATTCGCGGAGGTCTGCTTTCAGACTGCGGGCCAACCGCCAGTAGGCGGTGTGCGATGGCTCGATGTCCTCTAGGAGAGTGTCCCACGTTGTATGTCGGTGTTCCGATACACGATTCTAGCTGACTGACTTCTAGCTGAAGGCATCGAAGTAGGGTTCGGTTCGATTCCGATCGGTAACGGTCGAAAGCGCGTTTACCTGCATTTTTCTGCCTAATTAGCAGTCGCAGGTCGGGCGGAAAGTTAAACCGTCGATCGCCCAACAGATTAACCGTCCGTTCGGAGTCTGCAACTGTGGAAGTGATGGTTTCTCGGAGACTTGCTATCGCTCGATTTGCGTCATCGAACGTAGCTATCGTCTCGGGTAGGTCGACTAAGTCCTGGGGGTCCAAGGCCTTGAGTTTGACCTCAAGACGATGCCAGTCCACTACGGATTTGGTCGGAGGGACCGCGCCGGCGTTCTGTCCCAGTTTACACAGGACGGGCCTGTGATCTGAATCTAGTTCATGGATTGTCTCTATCGACTCAATGTCGAGCGAGACCTCCTTGAATAACATGATATCTAGGATACTCGGTGTCACGTGTTGGTAGTTGTCCACCGTAGGATACCTAGTGGGAGTCGCAGGAGCAATTATGCTAAAGTTTAAATTATCGGATAAGCTAAAGAGATGCTTTCCGTTGTTATTTGGGATGCTGTGGATGTCCCATGAGCCATGCAGTTTAGATCTCCTGCAATTATCACGGAAGGGCCTAAGTTCAGTAACGTATCTAGGTCGCTTTGTAATAAGGTTTTGTTCCCCGAGAGGTGGGCTGAGACTAGCGGCCTATGGCCGGTGAGCGCTAACCTACACGCGGATGCCTCTATATGGCTTAGCTCTGGAATGTCGAGCGGGCTACAGTGCAAGGACCGTTTGTAATAAACTAAAGTGCCTCCCAAACGGTTTGCTAACCGGTCGTGCCGGACTATGTTGTAGTTTGCGATTCTGGGATCGCGAACAACACTAGGTTTTAAGAAGGTCTCTTGCACTAGAAAAATATCTACATTATAATCGCGAAGGAAATCTGCGATTTCGTCCCTGTGACCCTTAATGCCGTTTGCGTTGAAATACGAAATAACCAGAGCCCGAGGTTTTGTTCTACCTGCGATTGTACTTCCCATTAAAGTTTTTTAAGAGTTCTAACTAACGACGCGGCGGAGCGCGGTTTTATTGCGCGGACTATTAAGTTTATGGTTGGCTTGTAAATGCCCAGAGGGCATCATTCTACAAGCATTTTATGTTCGCTAATGGCTTTAAATCTCGCGGTGCCAGATGTTGCGGCTGCTATTTTAGCGGACAATACGGCGAGTTCTTGTCTATTAATGCGGTCTAATAAGCCGCAGATGATGGCAATTTGGGCGAACGGGTCGTCCTTGTATTCGGCGAAAACCGACGGTGTCGACTGCACCTGCGGCATTGGCGCCGTTTGATAGGCGGGCTGCGATTGAGCGATTGGTCGTGAGGCGATCGGGGGCGCAACTACCTGCGCGGCCACCTGGGGTTTCGCCCAGGCGTTTACGACAGGTACGGGCGCTGGAACGTATTTCACGGGCGCGGGTTTGGGCAAAGTTGATTTCGCGGGAGCTTTTCTCGCGGGGGGGGCGGGGGGGCGTGCCGTGGTCACCGGTGCATTTGACGCACCTAGGGTGAGCGAAACAATTATTAGCCGTGTGGCCATAGTGTTGGCAGTTGTGGCACTGCGCCACAACTCCCGATCTTCGCGGGGGCTCGATCACGAGATCGCTGAGCCCACAGACCCTCTTCAGAGTGAAGATGGCCTTATCTTCCGGGGTAAGTTCAAGTTCAACCATCACCATGTCCATAGGGACACGGGTTCTGGGGTGTCTGAGGCGTCGGACGGCATGCACAGGGTATCCCTGAGTGCGGATGTTGATCTTCGCCTGGTCGACATCCGACTCTTTGGGGACGCCCTTGATAACTACCCGAAGCTTGGGTTCTTCGGGCAACGAGTAGGTGTGAAAACCTATCTTATTTTCGCGCAAGTATTTCGTTACATGGCGGAAATCGTCCGTTGTGTCAAGGTATACGCGGATACCCATTTGTGTATTTTTCAACCGGGGGTCGCGGATATTGTGGCGTTCAAACCACAAACAGATTTGGTGCCACTTAGCCTTCTCCTGAATGATGATGGGTGGAGGAGGCTTTATTTTTCGCTCGGAAGCGAATTCGGTCATCCGTTTAGCCGCCGCGGCCGCCATTTTGGCGGGCGTCGCGGTGGGTTGATTAGTTGTAGGCGGCCTCGCATTCGGGGTCGCTGTCGGCAGCGGGGCGTTTTTTGCCCTTCTTACGCGACTTTACGACGGTGAAGCCGTCGACGTTCGCGTTTTCAGCGGGGGCGTTTCGACCTCCATGTCCGAGCCGCCGTCCGATTGTGAGTCGGGAACGACGGCGCGGAAGGGGGCCGAGATGGGATGCGCGGAAGGCGCGATGGGTACGATCGCGGCAGCGGAGGTCGACGCGACGGGCATTTCTTGTGTCGCTGAAGGCGACGCATTAGCGGCCGCAGAGGGCACCGGAGATGACGGCGAGGCGACTGCCGGTGAAGCCGGGCTGTCGCTGGCGAACTCGACGACTAAACATTTTTCTTTCGCGAACGCGAGAAAGTTTGCCCACACTTCGGGACATCGTTGGCGAAGGAATTCCTCTAGGAGGGAACCCATTTCGAGCGCTTGAGCCTTTGGGGCTTGCGCCCCGCCGGCGTGTAAATTACTAATTAGGCCTTCCCACCTTGCGGCAGGGAGGTATGTGCCTAAAACTAACAACTAATCCGCCTGCGCTTTAGGTGCGTCAGGGTGTGTACCCAGCTGTCGCCTATCGCAACAAGTACACAGTTAATAAATAAAAACAATGCCGCCTCTGAGGCGAGAAGTGTGTATAGAGTTTACGGTGGTAGGGCCTCGCAACAGCCTCGGCTGATGCACGAATGGGCAGGCCCGTCCGGGTCAGTACCACGACAGACCAGCGTAAAGTGGAAGTATGACAAATACTTTCGCGTTTCGTCTGGTGAGTGAGGTAGCCGGAGCCCAATTTTCAAAAGGTTGTCAACGCATCTGTAACCCTCGGGTAGATGCAGATGTCCATGGGCGGAGGTATTCACTTACCATCAGGTGAACCGTCTGCTCGTTTGGCAACTTTCCACATAAAAAAAAAAAAAAAAAGTTCTACTTACAGAACAGGAATTTTGTGTTATTGATGTTGAAGTGTTAATGATCTGTCCTGAGTTAAAAAATGAGTCCTGCTTAATAATTAAACAAATTATCCCAGAGTTATTGACTGTTTTAAGAAAAGTATTGTCATTTCATCCACATCCAATATCTAAATACATAGCAATTTAAATATTATTTTATAAAACAGTATTGTATTTTGTATGGAAGAAATCTATGGAGGGGTTAGGTACAAAATCCCATTGACCTCTCACAGCATGAATCACAGCAACCTAGGAGATCTGTTGTAGTCTTCCCTTTAAAAACATTGCCATAAATTTTATGTGTGAATAAAAAGAATTGAAATAATTATCTGTGGGTCACACAAATTGATGTCCTGTGTGGGAATCAAACCCACGACCCCCGGCGTCAAAGCCTATACCTTGACAACTGTACCATGGGGTCATCTAAAATATAATAATTGAATTGTGTGTAGGGCAATTAGTATAATTTTAAAAACAATTCTATAAAAAAATTGTTAAGAAAATTAAATGCATGACAAGACAAGAAGTGTCAATTAAAGCTTTCACCTATATTATTCAACACAGGCTTAAAAATAACAAGTGGACATTATCATATTAATTAATAGTATTTATATCTCATTACAACATAACATTTCTTCCATGGTGGAGTGGTAACCTGAACTAAGTTTTTTAGTGTTTCCAACATTTATGTCAAATCATAGTAATATAAATAACATATTACCTCTGTACCAGTAACATGACAAACAAACTTCTGACAGTACCCATATGCTGCAAAAAGCACTGAGTTCTCAGCAACATTGGCCATGATTGCTGGAGTGGTCCCTGCATACAGTCCTCTGACTATACCATCATTTTTTAAAGTCTGTTTCAAACAGTCATACATGCCTTTGTAAAGGTGTGGGAATGTTTGCATTTTTACTTTAACTGTATCCAATGGTTGACCAACATAAACAACTGCCACACCACCTGGCAACCAAAAATTTTAAAAATACTGACATTGAAAACAAATCTTACTCTTTTTATTATAAATTGCTCTATATACTTAATAAGTGGAAGACAAAACTTTTATTCAACTCCTTCTGATAAAAGGGATAATAAAGATAAATTAGGTCTCGGAAGCTTTATTTTATTTTATTTTATTTTAGATTAATTATATATCACTGTCTTCACATATAGTATATTTGTATTTAACACCTAAAACACTGGAGCTGAAGTGGTTGTCATGTCCAATAATGGTCAGGAAGTAGAAGTAGTGTTTGTATGCATTACTAGTATTTTTATTCTTTTATTCATGTAATTAACATTTGTTTAACAGCCTATAAATTTTTTTCAAGAAATCACAAAACAATTGATGTTAAAAGCCAGCTAATAATTTTCATTATGTGGACAATTTCTGTACTGTTAAAAATTTGTTTGTATTATTTTAACAGGAATGTCAAAAATACAAAGTACCAAGACTGGTTCAAACCTAAGGATCCAGCTGTAAAGTCAATAATTCCACTTTTTATAGATCCTGCTGATCCTGCAGAATGTGCCATTTTTTGTGGTCTGCTGATAATAAATTAAGTATGATGGATCTGAAAGGCAAACAACTATTATTAATAATGAGACCAGTAATAAAACAAGTAGCATACACAAGATCACCAAAATTATTGATTTAAATCTTCATAAATTATATTCATATGTTTTTATCGGAAAAGTTGTAAAGCAGGCTCTACCACATTTGATAGTATTGAATCCACCACATATTTATTTTGGCATAAATTATCTACTTAAGGAAAAGTGCATAAGCCATAAGGGCTTTTAATGGGATTAAGACTAGCTGATATTAATATGGATAATTTTATAAAAGCAAATATTTAAATAATTAAAAATCTTATTGACAAAATATAGAACCTCCAGACATCAGTAAATGCATCATATTATATAAAAAGTAAAGTAACAGGCTATTGAGCAGAGGTCTCCTCTGCACAGAGGGTATAAGGGCATAGTCCACTATGCAACCCCAATGCGGAACGGCAGACTTCACATACTTTCGAAATATTTTTTTTTTTCGTTATTTTTCCGAAAATATGCAAGATTTCGCAAGATTTAGGAGAGAGGATTATTAAATAAAATACTAACATTATTTAAATAAAACTAACTCAGAGGTAATGTCAACTTATCCTAAGTAAAAACATATGTAGAACCAGGTTCAGTGAACTGTAGATAAAATAAAACCAGAATTCCTTTTTATGTATAAAATAAAACTAACAAAATGAGCTAACAAGAATATTTACTTATCGAATACTCAAGTACATATCACAATTGTAAAATTCTAGTAAATAAAAACTGATCAAGTGCGTGTCGGCACTAACGCACGAAGGGTTCTCTATTATCTATAAAAACGGCCGGAATGTCTGTTGTTTGATAGCTGAACTTAAATATTTTTTATTCTGTTTTTTAATATCTGTTGTTATAGCCCAATAGAGATCATCATCAGTAAAAATTTCAACCGTCTACTTATCATAATTCATGAGACATATAGCCTGGTGACAGACGCACAGACAGCGGAATCTTAGCTTAGTAATAGCGGGACCCTATAACCCTTCGATTACAGAACCCTAAAAAGTAAGTATGAAAAATCTCTTCATTTCGATTGGAATTAACGCGAAAGGTAAATTTAATATAATTTCAAATAAAGTAACCCTCCTCACTCATAAATTTAATAATAAATAAATTATCAAAATTCTGATATGAAAAACATACAAAAATGAAACTTAAATATTTCAATACTCACTTAGTAACATATAATGAAATAGACTAACACTAATACACAAAAATTGAACGGAATTAGTAACCTTTAATAGATAGCATCGAAACGAATAATAAATAACATAATAAAAGGCAAAAACGTCAAATTGTTAATAGCAGTTCAGTCAGCGCGAGATTTTGTAAATTTTGTACTAGGGATGGATTGCACGTAGCGATGGGCTTTGAATCAACCGTTGATCTCTTGTTAACGAATTAACTTTAACTGTTATTGAAATCAACTAGTTGAATTCGTTAACGTCGTTTTGGAAATGTTGCCGTTGAATCAATTGTTTAAAAACGCAGTCTACGAACTTAATGCGTAATAGCGCTGGGCGTTGAATCAACGAACTAGTTGAATCAACCGTTGATCTCTTGTTAACGAATTAACTTTAACTGTCATTGAAATCAACTAGTTGAATTCGTTAACGTCGTTTCGGAAATTTTGTCTTTGAATCAACTCGTTTAAAAACGGAGTCAACGATACGTTTATTCAACGGAACATAAGCGTAACGAATTGAAAACTTTACGTTGAAAAAAACGTCACAGAGTTGAGTTGGGATGTTTGTTTAATTTTATGAAGGACATGTTTAAGTTCGCTTTCTTTATTTTTGTTTGACAGTTTGTGAATAGTTGAGCGCAAGGTTATAGAATATTTGTAGAATATTTATAAAATATTAATAGCGGCTTTGCGTAAATATTATCAGAAATTTACTTCATGTTTAGTGGTTTTATTTTTTGAGAATTTGTTAATTTTTAATTAGTTATATTTGAAATTTTATTTTACGTTATTAGTTTTGTTTAAGTATCAGAATTTTACTTTGTGGTTAGTGTTTTTTTTATTTTAATTTATGATTATTTAAGTGTACAGAGGACTGTGGGTACAAAATTCAAAATAATTGAACGTATTAACAGTGAGTTGTGGCTTCATACCTAAAAAGACAGTTCTAGCGGAAAAGCTGTTTGTAGTGTATGCGAGGAGAAAATATGGAACAAATTGACCACTAACTTTAAAAAGTACTTGAAGCGGAAATATATTTAAATATTTTCATCAGTGTTTTAGTACCAATCTTCAGCGTATGATGGTTGATTTTGATAAGAAAAAATTAGTTTCGAACAAAAGAAAAAAAAAATTCAGATTTGTTAGATTTATGCATAGATAGCTTTCATCCGTTTGCCCTAGTAGAAGAAAGGGCTTGCAATTAAACATACTTATGTATATGTCACGTTAACTAGTTGACGAATTTAACTAGTTGATCAACTAGTTGACGAACATGAATCAACGTTAACGTTAAGTTGAAGAAAATACCTTCAACGACCCATCGCTAATGTGTAACGAAATAATAAATTGAAAACCTTACGTTGAAAAAAACGTCACAGAGTTGAGTTGCAATGTTTGTTTAATGTTTTAAAGGACATGTTTAAGGATATTCCATTTATATTCCAAACATGTTTATGTTAGCTTTCTTTATTTTTGTTTGACAGTTTATGAATAGTTGCGCGCAAGGTCAGAGAATATTTTGCGGCTTTGTGTAAATCTATCAGTGTATAAAAAGCTACGTAATCGTTGCAGCAAGATGTGTCGGGATGCAAAAAGGAACCATATTCATGCTGAGGTTGAAAACACTCATCCTGCTCAGATGTGGAAATTCCTGAAGAGTCTTGGTCTGGGCAACTCAACAACTAAATTTAATTTTCCTTTTAATTTAACTGAACTCAATAAACACTTTTCCGAACATCCTATTTCTATAAACTATTCCACTAAAGATGCTACACTTAACCTTTTAGGAAATGAATAGCCTGCCGGCGTCCGTCTTTCCGTCCGAATACAACGTTGGCGTCTTCAAGGCAAGAATGAATAGGTTTCTACTGAGCTAGCGCGCTTCCCATCAACGGCTGCATCACCACTTACCATCAGGTGGGATGGCAGTCAAGTACTAGTCAGTTTTTGAATAAAAAAATATAAAAAACAGACAATATTGCAATTGGTCTATAGTTTGAATAATTGCAATGGTCTTCTTGCTTATAAACAGGGCGGATAATAATTTTTTTAAACTGTCTGGGTATAAGCTGTATGGTTTTGAAACTAAGGTATACAAATTTTTCTAATATTGGACTTAGTTTTTTCTTTAGCTAAAATTAGATACTGTAGCCTTATTCCATCTACACCTGGTGATTTTTTACTTTTATTTATTTGACTAATAATTTTTTTTATTTCATTTTCGTTACCTTTTTATAATAGAAAGTAGTATCAATCGATTTTACATAGGACTCGCGATTTAGAAAGTTAATACTACATTGATGTTTTATTTTATCAATTTCTTTTGTAAATGTTTCTGAGAATTTTGAACATATGTCACTTAAACTATCGATTTTTCCTAGATACTTAATTACTACGTCATCTAAGCAATTTTTACTATTTCCTAGCCAGCAATTTATTGTTTCCCATAATTTTCTAGTCTCCCTGGCAGCGTGATAGTTCCTGCCTTCTATGATTATTTTTAGCTTAGTTAATAATTTTATTTGTTTGATTTCTGTGTTTCGTATATTCTAATCTATAAGTAACATTTTGAGGACTAGTCTTCCACCTCCGGAATAAATAATCTCTTTTCTATCAAAATTTTAATTTTTTTCGAGATCCACGGCTGTATTACGCGTTTTTTTCTATTACAATTAAGGCTAACTTTAGCTTTATCGTAAATAGGTTCAAAAACATTACACAATTGATCATAAATTATCAAAGGACAGTCTATCTCTACGAGCTTACCCCAATCAACTTTTTTTTTACGTGGTAAAAATCCTTTATGGATCCCCCGCCACCTTGTGAGTAGAAGGCGAGGGTATGTGGGAGTCCCCAGGAATACGGGGGTCCCCACTAAAAAACCCACGTTGCACCTGCGCTGTCGCTTTTGCCGGGGACACGGGAACACGAAAACGTAATCTTCTGCGAACCCCGGCGCGACTGTGGCCTTCTAAGGCCTCCTCTCTCCGGGTCTTTAGACACCCGGTCCAGCCAAATGGTGCGGTATCGGTGCAATAGACACGGCACCCCTCTCGATCCCTCTACGGGGCAGCAGTTAATCCCACATCTGCCGCTCGCTATCAGGGGGGAAGGTTGCGCGCATAGGCCATCCTCCTGCGCCCTGGTCTCCGGCGGCGGATTTCCAGGGTGGCAGTTGCCTCTCTTTCTCGCTCCGCGGCCTCCTTTCGGGTGATTATGTCCTCACAAAAAGCAAGGACAGTACCCCACGCCCTCTCGCTGTCCACCATAGCACGAACCACGGCAGGCAGCGAGAGGTCGTGCCCCACGATAGCGCACAGCTCTCGGCGCTGCTCCGTACAGGCTGGGCACTCCAGCGCGTGTTGGGCCGTCTCCTCGGCACATACGTCAGTGGTGGCATTCCGTTGTGGGTTCCTTCTTCGCCACGCGAAACAGGTACCTCCCGAAACAACCATGTCACGAGAGGACCTGCGTCGCGCGGTAGGTGAGGGCGCCGTATTGCCTGTCCAGCCACCTACTGAGGACAGGACGTATGGCCTCCACGGTTCTTAGGCCAGCGCTGGGTTGCTCCAGCCTTTGCTCTCACTCAACAATAGCGTTTGAGCGCAAGACGTTCCTGCGCGTCCCCAACTCGTCTGTGGCTGGCGTGTGGCCTTGGGCTTTTAGCTCCTCGCGCCAGAAGTGCAGTGACGCGAGGATTTTAGCTTCTAGGTCCCAAGGCAAAGAGCCAGCCAACAGGCACGCCGCCTCACCGGATATGGTCCGGTAGCCCCGAATGGCTCGTATGGCCAACACCCTTTGCGGTTTGCACAAAAGTGCTTTGCTCCGGCGGCTCAAGGTGTCAACCCACATGGGAGCCCCATACAGGGCCATTGACCTCACGACTCCGGTGTATAGGCGACGGCACGTATCGTTGGGACCGCCAACGTTTGGGAGCTTTCACCACTTTGGGAGATAGCCGATCAAAGTAGGCACAGAAGTCCCATCGGCGTTCTAGGACTAGGCCGAGATACCTCATGGTAGGTCGTACGTCGACACGGACGCCACACACAATAACATGGACGTCCGCAGGTGGTGGCACCACGCAGCACCCAGTCATAACCTAAATTCCACAGGAGCGGCCCTAACACTGACCCCTCTGGAACTCCACACGTTATCTCGATGGCTCACCACCAATCAACTGATCTAACTCACGAGTTATTACCTTATTATTCAAAGTGTACATTTTATATTTGCCATTAGTAAGGCTTATTCTATTTACTCCTTTTGATTCTTTGGTAATACTTACACCTACCATGTAGTGATCCCACAACTTGCACGTAAACATATGTGAAGCGAATCGGCGGCTGCGCGTATTTACCCACACATGATCAATGCACGACATTACGAGTCTACTGGCTAATATTTCCTCGCGAGTACAGTCATTGTTAACGCTCTGCATTCCGTGATTATACATTGCGTTTTTGTATTTATCAGTGGCTGTATTTTTTCTAATAAGTTGATATTCATATCCTACAATAATGACGTCCTCGTGTTCGCGAATTTGCTTAATTAGTACAGATAACTCTTGAATACAGCATAACTTATTTGTGTTTGGCGGTTTGTATACGGTGATTATGTGTATGGTGGTGTCAGAGCTCTTAAGTTGACTGTGCAATATTTCCAAACCACAGCTTTGCGGGTTTACTGTTTGCAGGCGCAATTCATTTTTAGAGTACACTAATAAGCCTCCTCCTCGCCGATTTTCTCTTGTAAACCCTTTGCATATCATACCCATCTATACAATATAACGGCAACTCCGCTTGTCTGATATTTATTTCACTTAATAAAAAGATGTCTATACTAAAATTAGCTCGAAAAATATTAGCAATTCAACAAAAGAAAAAACACTTCTTCCTAAGAGAACGAATATTTAGGTGAATTATTTTTAGGTTCTCCGTGGATATTTTTAAGTAAGTGCTCCACGTATTTGCATCTAGAAATTTTTATAATCATATTTATCCTCGATGTGTGATAAAATATCATCCATTTTGTGGATTTAGGTATTCACATAGTGTGACCTTTCACAATACTAACTTATTGTGTCTTATTTACTATACGCTGCTGTTATCAATATTGAAACATATTATTGATATCTGCATTCGAACGATCCAGCGTATTTTCGAGTTGTCGTCTTTTTTATCCAAAACTTTAAAGTTTTTTGGCCATATGTGTTTATAGAAGTCTTTTAACATTTTCTTCGCGTTCCATTGTTATGGAACCATAACCATTGCATATTGCATATTCCATTGTTATGTCGCGTATTTTTGGGAAAATTTTCATTTATATACACCCGCTTGCCATTGCTGTTGCCGAGAATTTCTTTATTAATTACTAACACTTTTCTTTGCTTAAGCCATTCATCTTAAGCTTGCTTGGTTCGTAGGGTTACGACTATAGGTCTCGGCCTACCCTCTTCTTTCTTTTCTCGACCTACCCTATTTGCGTCCTCTATATTATCAGTGTTTAGATTTAATTTCTGTGCAACAATCTCAACGATTTCTTTGTATCTTCCTTCTCTGACTCATCCAGGCACGCTATTTCAATATTTTTCTCCACTACCAAAAACATTATCCTCTCTTCAGTAGTCGTACGATATGGATATTAGGAGCAACATTATTTTGATGTGCTCACCTATCGAACGGCTCCAAATGTCGGGTACTGTCAGATTCACGTCTGAAAAAATAGCTCTTTTGAAAGGCACCGAAGATGCCTGGCAAAAGATGTGTTTAAGGGCGACTACTCAAAGAACGGACGTGAAATGCTGCCGATTTATCCAAAATTTTAATGGATCAGTTGGATCAGATGATGGGTTTCTCTGAAGACGAGATTGATCGAGGTTTTAGCTCATTGGGTACAGAGCCAGAGCTCGGGGACCACGATTACAATTGTGTTATGTATAATAACTCTTCATGCCCAAATTGAAGACGTTTCATAATTTCCTTGTGCAAGTAACATTAAACACGACCACATTAAACCAGTGTTACGTTAAAAATATATTTGAATTTCAAATATTATATATATATTTGAATTCGTGTCAATTTCAAATTTTGAAATTGACACGAATGCAATAGTCTAAAATAAATATCGAATATCGATATATCGTGATTAAAAATATCGTCGATATATATCGATAATTGTATGGAAAAATATCGATATTTACATATATCGGCATTTTTGCCCATGTGTAGATGAATAAAATAATATATCACTTTGATTATTACGGTTTTTCTTTAATTGTGATTGATTTTTAAGCAAGATATCTTTACAAAGATGCTGTTAATAGGATTTTTATAAAAAAAATATTGCTATGGATATTAAGACATTAAGCGTTAGTTTACGAAGTTTGTTACTATACTGGTGTATTTGATTAACAAAATATATTCACTCAACAAGCACGACATAATTAATAATAAAGACTCCTAGTTAAGTAAACAAATTAGGATAAATAATGTTATGCGATATTAGTATTTTTTACTTTGTTAACACTCTTTTGTACTCATGTATAAGATGGGTATTAAAAATAGTCTTTGAAAACATTACCATATGAATGAAGTGTACGAAAACATGGTTGTTTTTCAGCTTTCCTTTATGATTTTTAAATACAGTTAATGTTATTTGATTCTAGTTTAGTTTCATGAAGAACAAATGTAAAATGCTTATTCCAAATGATTTTTTGTTATGAACAATTTGTTTTAATAACCTAGCTGATAGCGTCTTGAGTGCATTTGGTATACCTGGGTTGTAATTAGAAATAAATATGAATTTGAAGTTAATTTAACAATTTAAGTAAGTGTTTTAAATAATTGGAAGTTCATTCTTCATGATAGTCTGAGTATTATAGTGATTAGTGGGCTTAGTAATGTGGAAAACAATGTGAATTTTTGACGTGTCGATTTTTTCAGATTCGTGTTCGGCCGCCATATTTGTCCTTTTATATTTTACTCATAAATAGGTTTACATTTTATGGTAGTTATGAGTTTCTTTTGATAATGAAAAGGTTTTAGATTATCAATACAGAATTTGATACAAATGTTATAATAAAAAAGCAGTTTATTTACAAGTTATGTTTTTTTTACCAAACCTTTCGCGTCTTTGTTGTTTAGGTAATCAGGATGGTTGTTGGGTCAACGACATATCCAGGGAGGCAAGTGCTTCACAAAATGCAACCGATGGGCATGACTCCTCGCGAGCTTTCAGAATACGACGACTTGGCAACAGCACTTATAGTAGATCCATATCTTGGCATTACAACACACAAAATGAACATACGTTATAGACCATTGAAAACAAATAAAGAAGAATTAAAAGGGATTATAAAAGAATTTATTCAAACGCAAGATTATAATAAGGCTTACTCTAAATTGGCTAGTGGTGAATGGATGCCAAGACACTTTACAAAAAATAAACATCAACAAAACAAACTTAGAGAACATGTAAGTTTTTAAGCCACTGTCTTTAGCAAGAAATATTTATAGATTAAATGTCTGAAAATCTTGTTTTGTTTCAGATTTATCGTTACTTGAGAGTTTTTGACAAAAAGGCTGGATTTGTTATTGAGCCTTGTTATAGGTACTCATTAGAAGGTAGAGTGGGAGCTAAAATATCAACTACTAAAAAATTTTTCAAACATGAAAGAATTGATTTTCTTGTTGGTTGCATTGCTGAAATGACTGAAGAAGAAGAAAAACAATTACTACATCCAGGGAAAAATGATTTTTCTGTCATGTATAGTTGTAGGAAAAATTGTGCTCAGTTGTGGCTTGGACCAGCTGCATACATTAATCATGATTGCAGGCCTACATGTACATTTGAAGCTACAGATCGTGGTAAAGCTTTTGTTCGTGTATTAAGAGACATAGAAGTTGGGGAAGAAATAACTTGTTACTATGGAGAAGATTTTTTTGGTAATGGAAATTGCTATTGTGAATGTGAGACCTGTGAAAGAAGAGGAAAAGGTGCATTTTCTGTCAAAAATGCACATAATGATGAGCAAGCTACTAGATATAGATTTAGAGAAACTGATAATAGGATAAATAGAACTAAGGCTAAGCAAAGTAAAAAAACTGAAAATGGTAAAAATTCTGAAAAGGCTCGAATATCTAACAGACAAGTTTCTAACATTGTTTCACCTCTCAGCATGAAGGAAATGAAGCAAAAAGGATTAACAAAATATGATGCTGAGTTATTGATAGCGCAGGGTTGTATTGCAGATGTAGTGGATGGTTCTGTTGATAAAGAATCACATAGTAGAGAGTCATCTGCCTCAAGAAGAGGGGAACGTCTAAAAAAACGTGCAGATAGTGGCCGCCCTGTAAATGACGTACCTGCAATTGTTACTGCTTCTGCATCACAATGTACACAAGTACCTCCAACACGATGTTGTAGTATAACTAGTTCACGTAGTAGCCGTGACTCCCATTCAGGCATAGTATTACGAAGTCACAAACGCCTAATTGATTCTTGCATTCAATCACCTTGTACAAAAGCAAGGAATAGCTCAAAAAGCAATTTAGAGGCTAAATTGGTAAAAAATCATAATGTTTCTAAACAAGATCCTGATTTGCCAGATTCCTTTGATACAAATAAAATGGAAGAAGTTGATCATAACAATACAAAACAACAAAATTATGAGCCAGTAGCTACAAACAATTTTAGTAAATCATACATGGAAACAGAGAGCCATAATGATAAAAAAGAATCTCTGCCAGAAAGACCTGAATCATGTATGCCTACTACTATGACAATGGAAAAAGAATATGATGAGACTTCTGATGTTAAAGAACAAAAAATTAGTAAAATTGAATGTACGAGGGATGAAGTGTGTATTAAAAGTGAAATAAGTGATTTTAGAGAAAATGTTAATCCAAGTGAATCAAAAGATAGTAAAATGAGTAAACACAAATCTGATGTCTCACACCGGACAGAAGAGACAAAAAAGGATTCTGAATCTGGACCACCTTGGTTAGCAGATAATTCTAACAAAAGTAGTGAATGTCCTTGCACTCCACCACGCAGGGGATTAAAGTTAACACTGCGAGTCAAAAGAAGTCCTGTAGTTGAAGAAGTAATGGATTGTGGTAGTACTGCCGAGGCACCAGAGTATGAAGTCTTACGACTAGAGGGAGTAGATCCTGAAACAGCACGACGTTTGAAGAAGAGACGTCGGTCAAAAGAAAGGCATCGCAAACATAGTCCAATCCGTCCTCTGCCTCCCATGAAAAGATTAAGATTAATTTTCGGTAATGAAAGTCGAACTATAGATTTACCTACAGCTATTTCGGCAGACTGACAGTCGTAATAATCTTATAATTATTTTTCCACCGGTATTATTCAATTATTAGTTTAATTGTCACTGACTAGGATTATTTTGTCTAGTATTTATTTTGTGACGTGAATATTTTTTTGAATACTGTGTGATATGCATCAGATTGATCAAAGTGATAAATCCAGGATAATATTTATTACAGAAAAAAATGTTATATCTTTTATTTCGTTAGTATAGATTTTTTTACCCTTTGATCTTTTAGTGAAATTGTATTAATCAAAAATATGAAATTATTTTCTATGTTCTTATTGATGTGAGGATAGGATTCCATTATTTGGAGTTAAATTGAAAATTTCGTACTCAAATTTACAATTTTTTTTTAATTACATCACCATTGAATAGGATTTAATAATGAAATTGTATTTCATTCTAAATTGCATTTCATTCTAAATTGCATTTGTAGGTCTACATCACCATCTTGGTGATTATTGACTTGGGTTTATTATTGTTATGATATAATAAATTGATGTGGAATCCAGTTAAAAATTTGCAAATAATGTAGTAATAATAGTGTTATGCCGGGATTACTCAAATATGACATGCGTTAGTAACGCGATCCATATATTTTACGCTTACAATTGAAAGTAATGATTATAATCTGAAAACGTTTTGGAAGCAATGTCTTGCTGTAATGTAATTAGATTTTAAGGTTTGCTGGTTGAAAAAGAAGATAACTTGTAAATATAATAAGCTGTATACTTATTGTTTATTGCTTTGTTGTTCCATGCATGTTAAATATGTTTTACTTTTATCCAGAGGTCCTTCCAGAGTGACTAAAGTGAAATAACGCCGGGACTGAGTAGTTTTGTAAACATAATTTTTTTTTAAATATGTAACAATAATTATTATTTCATTGCCGTTAATTATAAATGAGGAAGTGTTAATGTTTCTCAACAATAAGTGTTCAAGTGCTCTTTGCTGTAACATTTGTGGTGACTCCTGAAGTATTTTATTTATTGTTTAATATTATTTTTTCTCAGTAGATAAAAAAAAAAATAAGAATAATTTTTTCAAAATTTATAGGTTTCAACTGCCTTTCATATTCTGATTTTCTGCTGTTTATTATTTCATTCACCTGATGAATAAATTCAAACAATGTTTTTGGAATTCAAGTATAACCATATTATATTTAAAGTATTCAACACACTGATACATTACTTGTTGATATAAAACCAAATTCACTAAAAACATGTAAGTGACTGTGAAATCCTCAGAAATATAATAAACCATTTTTAACCATTTCTTATTGGTGTTACTTTTCGAATAGAATACTTGACATGTTTAATTAAAAACATTGTTTTTCTGATTTGGCTGGCATAAACCTTAAACTGAGAATAAAATAGATCCCACGATATGTTGAATTTAATTCCGGGCGAAAACTATGTTTAGTTTATATTTTCAACCTCCACTTCAAATGTCATAATGTCAATTTTAAAGGAACAATTAAATATTACGTATTTGTTTACCAGTCCAGTGTGATTTTTTCATGTGATACTTGTAGCTTGAACACTGCCGTATCAAACTACCATTGATTAAGTAGAATGTTAAGGAATTTTAAGGTTTAACAGTTCTGTAATACCCAGTGTCTTATTTACTTCTCCAATTGTATTATAGCATACAAGCATTTATGGAATGCTAGCAGAACTAGTCCTGGCTCAATGCGTTTGTTGTGGATACCTTCAAAAATGTTCAAATGTGCAGCTGTGATTTCATTTGGAATATAAACGAAGTTCTATTACATGATAAAACCCATTTCCTTTGTAGCATTATAAGGGAGCGTAATTAAAATATAATAAATAATTATTCGAAATTAAAACATACAAACTACTAATTATTAAATCCCTTTCTGATAAGTGTGATATTATTGGGGCTTGGTGTAAACTAATACGAAATACAAGCATTTGAAATGCCACTAGAACAATTTTTGAATGATTGTCATAACATAACTTCAAATGACAACAGTTTTTTTTAAATTAACTTAAAAAACCGAAGTATCTACGTACTTCAGTGTTCTTCAGATTACCGTGTCCAGTTTTTGAATGCAACAATGCCTGAAGATACTTTGCCTATAGATACTTTGAAGAAAAGACGATATGAGAAAACATGCACGATATATATGAGAAATTTAGTCTATTAGTAATCTAGATTTAGATGGTCTGGGTTCGTAGAGAACTAATTCAGACTAAAAGAGAAGCTATGCATGAGATTGGGCAGGCTTTATTAGGAAGTACTACGGCCTTACAGAAGACTGGCAGAGAAATAGAAGTTTTGCGTTTCGTCTCGTCTCGTGAAAAGTAACCGGGCCCACTTTTATATAGGTTAGCGTCACATCGGCAAGCCCTCAGGTGCTGTACATGTGCGATAGGCGGAGTTAATCAATTAACATCGGGTGAACAGCCCGCTCGTTTGCCAACTGTTTTACGTGAATTAAATAAATCAATACAGACAGCCTCTACATGAGGTGACGTCAATCATGCGATTAAATTTCACCAAAACTTCACTAATCATCGCAAAATGAGTTACCATAAATCTTAGCTGTCGGGATTTATCTCTGAAGGTCTTCGATCTCTTGAATCTCAAAACTTTGGGCGCTTCATTGGATCTAGAAGACGCTTCTCAGCCCTTAGAAAGCTGGTATACCTCAGGTATTGAGTACTTCATTAGCTTTTCTTTAGTGGGTAATAACAAACAGTTAAACACTAGCTAGTGCGATTTAAAATCGGGATGGGGGCAGGCTATGAGCACTGGTTGAAGTCTTGTACTAAAATATATTAAAAAAAAAAAACAGTGCAGAAAAGTTTAGAAACGATAAAAATTATGATTTAGGAATCTGTGGTTTTAATAATTTCATACTTTTGCTGTTTCTAGTGATCAGAAATCCATTGCACATTCTAAGAATTGAATTGCGAAATTGCTTATAACGGGTATTAAATAACATAACTGTTGTTAGTGGCGTAACTGTATCTTGAATATTATCGTAAAATATTTGAGGCACATGGCAAATTCATGAGATTGTGCCATTCCTCCAGATAGTCAATGGATGTTATACTTTTGTTCATTGATCAGTATGTGAAACTATTAACACATTTGCAATTTTATTAAATGTCCTAAACGATCTTCCTAAGCTCACAGCACCAGGCTCAACCACTCACGGCCAGGGAAATCCATAGTATTTTGCGCAATCTGCTATCATATATTTACATTAATGAATGTTGCTATGGAAGTTGCCCCTGCCTTTTAAACAGTTGATAATAAATTAGAGCAAATTAATTTCAATTTTATAATAGTGAAGATTATCAGCTGTTATTAATAAACTAAAAATTTACTCTTGTTTTAAATATAAATAAGTACGAAGATCATTTGGTTTATTTATTTTTGGTCTATTTTTAATGTTAGAACTAAAGGTTTGAAATTAATTTGATATTTACTGTTTTTATGTGATTTTAATTATTACAATTTACAGTTGAAATACATTCACAGAATTAATAACGAAGATTTAGTACTTGCAGTTGTTTTATTAAAAACTTAATGCAAAAATGATACATTATGCCCAATATTCACACTGAAGACCACTTTATGTGATAAAGACAGCTGCATAATGTGCAGCTGGTTAATGACCATACCTGAAAATTTAAATAGTTTTTATTAATGGAATAAACAAAGATTTTAATAATCTGCACTATAAGTAAATATAATAAAAAAAAAGTAATCCATATTCTGATAATATGAAATGATTTTTTTTAAATATTTTGATGCCACCAATAACCCACATTTATATTATATTGCAATCTGAAATCCAAAATCTATGCTTAAAATTCTATCCAAATGAAATCCTTTCTGCTACTAAACTATTATACCATAACTGAAAGATTAACCTATAAACATGATTTAAACAAAGACATTTTTGTACAGAAATAATCATGCAATCATTTAATCTCTGAATATACTTACTTTTGGAACTCCCATTCTCTGTTGTCTAGTGGACACACTTGTCGAGTTTTGAGCCAACGTGAAATACAGTGGAAATGGAATGCATGCTGAAAATATTATAAATTAATTATTAAATATAATCAAAGTATGTGTTAAATAAATAAAAAAGAACTTATACTTTAAACATATAAGTATAAAACATTATATGTCATAAAATAATCATAACCATAATGATTGCATCCAAAAGTATTATTTTATACTTGAAAACAATATACTTACATTACAAACTCCCCATGCTACTGTGCATTCCTCGCTAGTGGCAGATGCTTGATTTGCTTGGCATTCTATGCATAGATCCATAATATGGTTCCGGCAGATAGCGCAATTATCCACTACAATATCTGAAATAAAGAAAAAAATTATGATTTTATTTAGTTTTAGAAATTTTAGGTTATTTGGAAAACAAAAATTTATAAAGACCTTACCCCAAGCCCACAATGCAACAGCGTTCCACTGTAGATTAAAATACGGTTTTTTAGTTAAGTGTAAATATAACGTACTTTTAGTGAAATATTATTTAAGAACAATGGACAACAATGATTGAGCGTAATCCATGACATTACCTTTTTTACTTCAAATCTCTTTTTATCTCCTTTGCCACTGCTAGAAGAAGCCATTTCAACTTCCTCTTCGTCAACGTCCATTGCAGAAGACATATTTTTTTACAATTACCTTATTTTATGAACCTAAAATATTATTGAACTGTTCACAATTTCTTTGATGTTATTTGACAGTTGTTTGTATGACATACAGTAGCATTAGTAAAGTAAATTATAGCATAGCTTTATCTATAGACATAACGATTTGTAAGAAATATACTGTTAAAGCTTAAGTTATACGTTATTAATTCGTAGTGTTATTGACTCAGTTTGTTTATTGACTGACCTGACAGTATTACAGTTTACACACATGAGTCGTCTACACTGCCCTAGAAGTCGAGCAGGTGCAGGTACGGGCGTCGGGGATTAGTACCCCATAACCCGGGCATTGTCTTAGGGGGCGCCCCGTGTCCCCAAGAAATGTGGCCTTATGTTAACTCGGACAGTACGGTAATAACACGGTTACGTCATCCTTTATGATGATCTAAAGCCCCCTTGACCTAAAACGTGTAACATATTTACTCAACCGAATTTATGCCAATTGCGTCAGCCAGCGCTATGAGGTGAATAAACTCCTCCCATAAGGACGACTATACGAAGAACATTATGTATTGGTTGTCGATACCGCCGTCTCGCCGTTACCCCTCCTAGGATCGGGCTGTACAGGCAGCAGCAATATTTCTCTTGTCGTCCTGCTGAAATCATCGTCCTGCCGAAACCGGGCAAGGACCGACGACTTCCGGCGAGCTACCGGCCTATTACGCTGCGGCCACACGTAGCGAAACTTTTTGAACGGTTGCTGCTGCGAAGAATAGTTCCCTGTATCGAGCTACGCAGGAAACAGTTCGGATTCCGCAGAGGCCACTCCACCTCAGCGCAGCTGGCCCGAGTGCTGCACTATCTTGCGGCCGCATCTGTCTGGGGGTCCTTCTCGATATGGAGAAGGCCTTCGACAGAGTGTGGCACGAGGGCCTACTGTACAAGTTGCTGGAAGTAACCATGCGTTCTTGCGGTTAGTAGCGTCAGTTTCTCCGGGACCGGAAGTTCGTCGTACGAGTCGAGGAAGCCGAATCGGCAGTACGATGCATCCAAGCCGGTGTACCACAAGGTAGTTGTCTGTCGCTACACCTGTATGCGGTGTACACGGAAGACATTCCCACCTTGACGTAGTTCCTACCCTGAGTATGACGCCCCTAGTAGAACACTCAGTTCGACAAGCCAGGGCAGCTTAAGCGGTCCTCTACCCAATCCTGGCATCCAAGCTACCAAAGACGAAACTAGGCGTCTATAAGACCTACGTCCGTTCGCGCTTGACCTACGCCGCTCCGGCGTGGCGCGCACTGGTTTCCTTCTCGCAGAGGCGCAGGCTCCAGGCGCAGCAGAACCTCGCCCTTCGAGCAATCGTGGGGGCCGGGCGTTACGTCAGGAACGACGTAATTGCCCGAGACCTAAGGATGGAGTCCAGCGAGGAGTTTGTGGTCCGGATGGCCAGTCGCATGTACGACAGGGCTGATAACGGACCACACCCACATCTGGAGAACATCGCTCCACTTCACGCCCGCTCCCACGAGAGCTACTGGGGTCGGAACAGGCCATTGGGGGGCCAGACCCGATCGCACTTCCGCCACTTTCGCCGCTGTGTCGAAGACGATGTCGTCCTCACGTTACACACCGCGTGTAACGCCGTACGCCAAACATCTTTTTGCTTTAATTAAGCTGTATTTTTAATATCATTCGACATGTGTGAGAAAGTTATGACGAATAAAACGTGTGAATGTGTGCTCTCACTTTATTTGGTTTGGTTGTTTTGTATGAATTTACATACCATATCTATAGTATAAAATATAATTGATCATAGTGTTTAGTGTTACGTGTATAATTTTATTTTTGAACATATGTTTCATCAATGTTACCTTATTAATTTTTATGGATTCGGTCTGTTAAATAAGATCAAAAACTTAATCCTGGCCTGATGGTAGCACAATTACGAGAAGGTCGAATATCTCGCCGACGGTCTCAAGCTACAATGCTCACCAAGCACGCCAACCAATAATAAACAATCACAACCCTCTGCCCCGATCACAGAGATCACCATTACAGCGAAGGATAAAGAGAAATATTTTATTAATAGATAACAGATAGGCATATAAAATTGGCTTTTTTTTCTTGTAGTCCATAAAACGATGATAAAACTAAGACTAGAGTTAATCTTATCCTTTAAACGAGCAATTCTTGTATGTGTATATATATATATATATAATCGGAATCTCGGAAACGGCTCCAGCGATTTTCATGAAATTTAGTATGTGCGTAGATTCGGGGGCGAAATATCGATCTAGCTAGGTCACATTTTTAGAAAATGTCCTTTTATCCCTGTTTTCAGGGAATGAAAAATATCATTCAAATACGACGGTAAATTTCGCAGCAAAAAAAAATGTTATAATATCTCGGTCGGTAATCGGCGGCCCCGAAACGGAAGGCCGTGGTTCGTGTCACGATCATTTACAAATTTATTTTTTACTTTTTTTTCGATTCCAGATCATTGCTTTCTATATTTTTAATTTTTTGTCGATTTGTTATTTTGTTATTTTTTTTTTCCCTTTTTTTTAAAGTTCTTTCTTTTGTGAAAAACATCAGTTCATATTTTCTTATTATTACGTCGGTAAGATCGAAAAATATTATGCATATTTCATTACTCAGTAATTTGTATCTAAATGTAATTCCCAAAACACACGAGACATTTATTAAAGAAAAACTTTTTAAAAAGGGTTATTATAATATAAATGAATACATTAACGATAATAACCCCTGGGAATGAGCTGATCGCTCATAAGCTATTTCTAAAAAAAAAATATATACTGTATAGCTATGTATTTGTTGAGTAAAGAGGATACCTACGGAGTTTCTTTCGCCTGTTTCTTCTCCGTTAGAGGAACCTCATTACGAAACGGTGGTAGATTTAAAAAATGACTATCGATAAATGAAATGTATATTTCTTAGGTATTAGTTTCTTTAAGTTTCCGGGTGTTTTTCGACGTAAAAAAAATATAATTAGGTACAGAAAAATCATTAATAAAATACTCACCAAGCAGAATTTGGCGGTCGCTTATAGTTTTCGAGAAAATAAATGAGTGACAGATCCGACACAGAGCGATCCGATAGGTTAGGTTAGAAGGTTAGCCTTCGATGTTAGGTTTTTTTTTATGACCACCCAGAAAACAGTACTTTTAGTATTTTTAAAGACTTTTTTAATAATGTGAAGGTTATAATTTGGAAAAGTGTGTGAATTCGTAAATTTATACATGTTGTCAAACACAAAATGGCGGATTAATTTAGTGAAAATAACAAGTTTTAAATATATTTTTTTTCTCGAAAACTATAAGCGACCGCCAAATTCTGATTGTTGATTATTTCATTAGTGATTTTTCTTAACCGAATAAACTTTTTGTTTGGTCGAAAACACCCGGAAACTTAAGGAAATTTTTACCATTTCTTATTTCGATGAATAAATGATTTGATTTGATTTGATTTGACACGATTTACCAAAAAAAAACCGTGCAGAGCTCGGTCCTCCGGGTACTAAAAAATATATGTCAGAAAAGTTTTGAGATTTATTTATATAAATATTTACTTATTATTTTCTCAAAGCTTTTTAAAAATACTACAGGTTGATAGTAGAATAGAAAAATATACATTTTTGTGTGCAAATAAATTTAATAATTTGATATCTCTAATTTATTGTATGTCTATGAGTAACACTCGAAGACTTCAATTGAGGCTCTACAGTAAAGTATCACCCCGTTCATATCCCACTGCTGGCCAAAATACTTCTCTGTACAAAGGGCATAGTCCGCCACGCGATCACATGGCGGATTGGCAGGTCGCTTATGTTTCCTCAGGATGTTTCCATCACCGCTGTGCATGTCAGAACTTAAAGTTAATTTCATTGGTTCTGGAACCGGAATTTGAACTGAGATTGCTCGAGTATAATTTAATTAAAAGCGAGTGGCCGGAGACCTAGCTATCACAGCCCTCACTAGTTACTCATAGAGCTTAACTTTTATTAATTACATTTATGTAGCAATAATCAATAAGACTTAAGAGACACTCCAGGTGTTCCTTTAGATTAATAAGCTATGCGACATGATTCTTCAATTCAAACTCATTCGGATCGTGCTCATTTGTGTAATTTTTACGTTTGTAAGAATTTTTCCATATCTCATAGAAACAAACTGTGGCCTGAAATCTGTAGCATACGAGTAACGGTACTGACACATGTGTGATAAGAGTCCATGCCCAAACGCCAAAAAATTCCATCTGAAAATAAAAAAAGTAATATATTTCCTCTACATGTTCTATGTTACAGTACACTAATGTACATAACATTGGTATATATTCATAGTTAAGAAAAATATTGAAAAAAATAACATAATATATGGCAGCCAAAAATTCGCCATTTCCCTCAACCCTTTTCGTTTATACCATGCATACATAGATTCTTTTTCTATTTATAAAAGACGAGTCACCCACCCCGATTTCGCTTGGAGCGGTTCGGTCTATAAAATCAACTTCTAGGGTGTAAGTGACTGTATAACGTAATATAGATAATTATTATTTGTCAAGCAACAACATTTCGTATAAGAATCTCCGCAAAAATAAAAAGTGTTCTGTTTTAGAAGATAGACAAACACATGCTGAAAACAATTTAATTTTCTAGCACTTGTGAAAAGAATTAATTTTGTGCAACATTAATTGTAACCGAAACGCAGGCTGTTGAAGTCTTCAGGAGATACGAGTTTTTGCAACTGTGTTGATGATAATACATATTCATAATGTACAATAATTAACCTTACACAATATGTCCATCAGGTATATTAGATTAAAATAGAATTTTGAAATAGGGCGCAGTGGTTATGTTTTTACACCATCACGAAATGAGGACACTTTATAATTTCTGTAAGCTATTCATTTATTCTTTATTTTCGTTTTGTTGCATGAACATTATTATATTATTAGGAGCGTTGTTAATGTTGGAGAAGCAGGAGTGTAATAACTAGAGCTATTTATTTTTATTTGGATTTATATCAATGTACCAAATGTGACACTATGTTTTTCTTCTAACAGTTATTACAATACCTAAGTGGGGTGTTCAATGTATTCTCGATGTAGGCAGGAAAGTAACTTTTCAATATATTCTAAAAAATTTAGAGTATGTTGAAAAGTTACTTACCTAATTTATTTTTCTTTCTTGTCTGAAAAATGTTCATCAATTGTCGCCTACAACTCTTCATCGTCGGAAAAATACTTAGTTCCAATATCTTTGTTGAGGCTGGGGAATGGAAAGTAGTCACTAGGGGCTAAGTCCTGGCTGTAGAGTGGATGATTGATTTCTTCAAATCTGCAAACCCACAGAGGCAGGTAACGTGCATAGCGTTGGAAACGCGTCCTATAAATGAAATTTTATATGTATGCCCTCAAGGAGTGTCTTTAACTAATAAGTTAATTAAATCATCTCCATCATACTATATCACCCCGATGCCAAAACTACATTGAACGAGGGACCGACAATACATAGATAACAAATTTTATTATTGAGTTGAAATTAACGATCGTGTGTGGAGTACTGTTGCCATATCTGGGCTGGGGCTGCAAAATGCCATCTGTCTGCCTTGGACTCAATGGAGAGGCGTGCGGAAAGGCTCATTGGTGACCATAACTTGGTTAAAACCAATCTCACTAGCCTGAGCACAGGCGCAGAGTAGCCAGCCTCTCGGTTTTCTACAGGATACATTTTGGAGAGTGTGCGTTGGAGTTACATGATCTTATTCCTCCCGCCCCTTTCCATTATCGGACAACCAGGCGTTCGGCGGGGCTCCACTCTTATGCTGTCGACGTTCCACGTACAAGAACAAAGTGATTCGCTTCTTCATTTATCATCCGTACAGCTAAGGAATGGAATAGCCTGCCGGCGTCCGTCTTTCCGTCCGAGTACAACGTAGGCGTCTTCAAGGCAAGAGTGAATAGGTTTCTACTGAGCTAGCGCGCTTACCATCAACGGCTGCATCGCGACTTACCATCAGGTGGGATGGTAGTCAAGTGCTAGCCAGTTTTGAATAAAAAAACACTAAATTTCAATTTAAATACTTAGCAGTAGTAACTTTCTCAATCTCAATGTTAAGGAAAAGGGAGTATAATAACTACAGATACTTGATTTAATTTAAATTCAATAAGTGTTAATGTTTGCAATATATAGATTTCAAAAAATTTGCTAATTTATTTATTTAACACTAGCTGTTGCCCGCGACTATAATATTCGTCCGCGTGGAATAAGGTGAAAGCGAAAAAAATCAGACAGATAGAGAAGGATAGAAACGGCTTAACCGATTTGGGTGTAATTTTAACTAATGAATTGTAGTAGTTCACTTAATATTTATTGTTAGTTTTATTCAAATCGGTTCATAAATAAAAAAGTTATATCAACTTAAAAAAAAGTAATAGCTACAGCTGAATTGGATAAAACTATAGTTAACTACAATTATATTATGGTCTCTAAAATGATGATGATTGTTAGATTATATAAATTAAAAAACCAGTCAACCAAAAACCATCGTGGACGAAGGGTTCCATACCATAATCTATAAAAAAACACAATTTTGACTGAGCCACACCCAGTGATAATCACAGCTTGAATTATGTGCCTTTGTAGAAAAGTTACGTTTATATGAAGTTAAGTTTATATTAAGTTGAAAAATGGAATCCGCCATTACACAATTTTACACCGACATTGCGCGCGATTCTATATGCAGAAAGGCCACTTGCAGTAAGCGAACTTAAAAACTCAACCGGCTAATTTGTGGCTTGGTCATTGCTTGCAGTGAGCATAATGCGTGTTAAACACCTGAAAGTTCTCCAAATACAGAACTTATCAGTTTGTTTTCGGAGAAAACGACTGTACTAAGTATATCCGGAAGACACACCTCCCCTTTTTTCTCTGAAAGGATTTCCTTTCTGCCTTCTAAGAACGTCGGATAATTCTTGGGCATGTAAACGCAGTCCGCACGTTAACTGTAAACCGTAACTTATATTTTTGAGGCCAGATATAAAAACGCTTCTGTGAGGCATTTATTTCTTATATTCGATAAGTGGTTTTCAAGTTTATCGATAACAGACAGACAGACAGACAAAAATTCCAAAAATGTTTTTATGTTTCCTATAACGCTTTTTATGATACCCTTTTTCATTTTTTCATAAATATATTCAATGTACAGACACGTCGATTCTACTCTTTTATTATAGTATAGATAAAGAAAAGTAAAATTATTTGTGTAAAGTGACAGAATCTTTAAATTGTTTATAGTGCTAATCTTTGCACTTAAGATTGAACATTAAAATATGTAGAAAACGTGCGAAAAGATTGTCGCCGCTGTGGGAATCGAACCCACGTCTTCGGCATTCGCGGCCTGACGCTCTAGCCACTGAGCTAACCGGCTGATTACCACACCGACGAAAATATTAACGCATTCTTCCACATTGTTTTCTTAACATTTGTAGCAATGCTTGGCGCCATCTATTGTTATATCCTTTCCAGCATACAAACAACTTCGAATATCGTTTTACAACGATAATTCGAACGAGAGATGTCGCCATTGCTTTTTAGAAATTTAAATTGTTTATAGTGCTAATCTTTCCACTTAAGATTGAACATTAAAATATGTAGAAAAAGTGCGAAAAGATTGTTGCCGCTGTGGGAATCGAACCGAAAACAATGTGGAAGAATGCGTTAAGATTTTCGTCGGTGTGGTAATCAGCCGTTTAGCTCAGTGGCTAGAGCGTCAGGCCGCGAATGCCGAAGACGTGGGTTCGATTCCCACAGCGGCGACAATCTTTTCGCACTTTTTCTACATATTTTAGTGACAGAATCTATTAAACAGTCTTCGCTGCTGCACGAACGGGCAGGCTCATCCGGGTAAGTACCACGACCTCACGGAAGACTGGCGTAAAGTGTAAGTATAATACTTTCACGTTTCGTCTGGTGAGCGAGGTGGCCGGAGCCCAATTTACAAAAAGGTTTTGTCAACGTATCTGGAACCCTCAGGTGTAGCAGATGTCCATGGGCGGCGGTATTCACTATACATCAGGTTGCTCGCTTGGCAACTTTTCACATAAAAAAACACAGAGAAGGTACAAGGTTCTGTGCTACAAGAACCCATTATATTCTTTGAAAAATAGAAAATTAACGAAGGTTAGAATCTATAATATAAATCGCTTCACTTTTTATGGATCTCTCCATAGAGAAGATTTAAATATTTTGTTCTATAATAGTACTTGTAGTGGATGATATTCGGCCCTTGCGTTTTTCACTCTGTTCAGTAGCCACAATGCGAAGTTTCCAACGAGGAGAAATGTCACCAACTGTCGTCCTGGTCGACTGCCGTTTACTGTTGCACAGCGTCGAGACCAAGCGTCCAACACAAGTAAAGTTTGACACGAACTTTGTATCACTGCACATAGCGGCGAGATAATTCTGTAACGTTAGTAAGTTAAACCATTTTACAACAGGTATATTAGCAGCATAAGTGTAAAATTATAATGGATAATTTTACACTTATGCTTTAAAGCACAGCCGCCAGATAGCAGCACTAAAGCCTGAATTATTTCGTTTTATCCGGAACACTTCTTTATCGAATGTTTTAGCATTGTTTTAAATCTTGAACGCAGAATTAACACTGCAAAACATTGTTCACAAAGTGTCCGATAAACTAATAGTAAAAACACAAACTTTAATGTTTGAGCAAAAATACTGGTGCAATGTTGTGTATAGAGTTGTAATCGATTGATATCTCAGTGACCGGTTTGTGTATTCAAAATTTTATTTTTATAATTCCGGCAGATTCGGAACAATTTCAGATATCACCATAAATTATGGTAGTAGATGAATTCGCATTATAGAGAAATCTACACTTCTCAAAGGCTTCTTTTTAAACATATTCTAGGTTTCTTTCACCTTTGAACGAAGTTGGAAGAAATTAGAGTAATGTTCGAAATAAAGTAAAAGGATCTGGAATGGATTACATCTTTTTAAAGCTTATTAAAATGAGGCGATTCTAATTACCTTGTTGCTCTCCTTCCTTCAGGGTAACGTTGTATTAAGAAGCCGGCTCCTATTATTTGAAATAGATAGTAAAGATAGACGCCGCACTGTGTCACAAGAAGCAAAGCATGCTCCAATGGCATCGTGGAGGCTATTTTGCGCAGAGTCAGCAAGCGCATTCTTTGAATACAAACACCCGAACCGATTGTCATAAGCACAAACAGAACAGTCTCCCATATGTTGATCTGAAAGTGATTTGTTTTGGTTTTGTCTACAGTCAGGATTATATTACCCGGGCTATACATAAACACTATGTTCACCGCACAATATTATTCTACTTATGGGGATCGAACCCAGACCCTCTAGTAGACGGTAACGGTGAGAAGAGTTAGAAATTAGAAAATTCTGTCATTAATTACTAAAAACAAGGACTTACCTGTAATAAAGCGAGCTCTATATGCTTGGCTTTTTGAAACAGTCCATTAAACAGCATCAGACTGACTACGGTTCCAGCAAGTGTTGCAATTCCCATGAAAAGTCCCTTGTGTGCACTCCCACAGTCCACTGAGAAGTGGTTGTTTGATTTGACTCTTGTACAGCATTGCTTTACTTCTTTGGTTTGAATTCCGTTTGAGGTCATTTGCTTTATCGTTTTCTGCAATACATTATTAATAGGGAAAAGTGGGATCTCTTTCGAGGAGGAAGTAACTTGTGATTGACTCGCCGTGTGTGATAATAGTCGTGTGTGATAAAAGTCGACCATAGACAACCGGCCCGTCCGATTGCAGTTGTGTCACCAACTTCAAAAGGGACCTACACTCACGTCGAGAACTTGGTACTTGGTACTCAGTGTTGGGTTGGCGTATCAATGTAGATAAAACCCCATAAAGATAAAAGATAATAAAAAAGAAGAACATCGTACTTTCCCTACCCTCATTTAGGCTAGAACGGTTGCTAATTAATGACTATCATAGGACAAAGCAGTACTTAGCGTTTACAGATTTCTATATTTCGTATTGTTTGTTAACAAAATTAATGGAAATTTTGCACAATTGAATGTACAATACCATGAATCAACTCAACAATATGTTTTCCATTACATTTGAGATCCGACTTAAGATTCTTTAGTTCCATGTGTTAATTTACATTAACATTTTTAGTAACTTAAGGCGAGTACATAATCGTATCATTTTGCATTCTCACAAACCCGCAAGCTGTAAAACTTAATTAGAATTGTTAATCGTTCTCAGTTTAACGGCTCGCGTTGCGGTTGAAATCAAATTTGTGTCACTTTTGAAATCCATTGGGCATTTAAAAAAATCACAATATTAATAAAATTGACGCCTTATCTTTTGTAAAGAATCAGATTTATAGGTTACTTGTTTTTTATATTAAATTTATATCACTGAGTGACAATTAATGGTTAAAATTAAAGGAAATAAAAAGTTCCTACTTTATTTATTCCAGGATAAACTCGAAAACGACAATGGCTGATGAAAGATTAATATAACTAATATAAGAACGAATACCATAGTAAAATATTTACCGATCCTGGGACCGTGCATATATCGTTCCAAATGACGACTATGATGATGGAACACAGAAGACTGTATTCAACTCCGCATGGCCTCAGGTAAGGGTTTACCGCTCTAATTATTGGAGTGATGATATCCGAAATATTACAATTCCAGTTCGCAATTAATGTATGATTACGTGTTATAACTGAGGTATCATTGTAAAATGGATCTTCAAAGTTTGTATCGTCGTTTCCTCCAGTCGTGAAAGACTTTATTGGGTCCTTTATAGTCGTGTATCTTATAAATGCTGGGCTATTGTATGCCACGGCGATGATGTCGTCTCTTGTTTCCTGTATTATGACGTTCAACCATTCGCAAACGTTTGTGGCGATCAAATGCATTAAACCGAACCTGTCCAGTACAACGCCTCGCATCGGATCCAAAATCTGAAAGTGTCAACGCTAAAATTTCGTAGCTCTTTGCAACGGTTGGCGTCGGATATTTTGTGAAAGTTAACCTTAAATGTTATAAAAACTGTAAACTATATATGTACTTTATGTAAATGAAGTAAATATAATATTGTATTTCTCGAAGTTATTTTTTATCGGTACCCCAGAACTTCCGTAATTCTTCATCAAATTTAATGATTCAAACACCAATTTAAAGCTTACATTTGCCTGTTGCGCGATGATTTCGCAAGGGTCAAGTAATAATATTATAACCATTTTTTTACTAACGAAAAGCAAAAGAGACTTCAAATATCTCGCTCTGTATTAATTTTATAATTGATTTCCCTAAGTATCTCCGGAACCCAAGATCCAATATCAATGAAATTAACATATGGCCATATGGGAAGCTTTCAAATAAAAAAAGAATCATCAAAATCGGTTCACTCAGTCAAAATTTCTGAGGTAACAAACATACAAAAATACAGTCGAATTGAGAACCTCCTCCTTTTGAAGTCGGTTAATTATATTATTACTTGATGTTCATGTAAAAATCGAAACAAATTTGATCACTTTGAAATATAAGGGATAAAGTGTTTGTAAGCGATTTTGTGTTATGTCTTTAAGAGTAAAATATTTTAAGGAAATATCTCTTAATCTATGTCTCTCTCTTTCTCTCTCCTTCGCTTTTGTTGTTGCTTCTTATTGTAAATTTAATATTAAATAATAATTTTAGCAAAAGCTCATTTAGTGAATAGTATACAGCGTGTCGTTACCATCGCGACAATAAATGAACACGCATATAGGGGATAACTTTTTAAAGTTGTATTAAAAATTTAAATTCTTTAAACATCAATATTAAATAGAGTTATTAAATTTTTCAAAAGAAAGAATTTTAGAACACCCTTACCTATAAAAGCGTAACGTAAAGTTCATTTGTAAACGTCACAAAGCATATGAATGGGTTGAATGAATTTAAAAGAGACAAAACATACTGTTAGAAGGAGAGGCTTGTAATACGACGCTGTGACGCGAGTTGTATAGGATGTTACAAATTTAGTTTCTTTTTTACTTAATTAGTTTGTATGAAAAATATTTTTTTTAATTATGGATTTTGTTTAACGTTAATATTTTTTTATGATTATTGGCAAGTAGCGTTAGACGTGTGTTCATTTATTGTCGCGATGGTAACGACACGCTGTATACTCGATATACTATTAACTATATGAGCTAGTAGCTATAGCTAGAGAGTAGATATACTGTTTTCTTTATTTAAATTTATGATGTTTCGATTATTACAGATGTTTCCGTCGATGAGGAGTGTAAAATGAACTATCTTTACTAATATTATAAACGCGAAAGTTTGTATGTATGGATGGATGTTTGTTACTCTTTCACGCAAATACTAATGAATGGATTCTAATGAAACTTTACTATAATATACCTTATAAATCAGAATAAGAAATAGGCTGTAATTTATATACATATTTTATGTATATCTGTCTTTCTGTCTGAATGTTACGCCTTCAGCCTATTCTACGCAGACGTAGTCGCGGGCAGCAGCTAGTATGGTATATGGAGGCCGGTCATTGATAATTAATGTATTAACAAACTCACATCTGTGTACGAAAAAATGAAAACAGTTTGTGCCACCAAGAATACAATCCTTAGTGTCGGCTTTAAAGCGACTATCATTAATTGGCAGTCTCCAGAAAGGTCAAAGTATTCAGCGATTTGCAAGCATGAGTAAATAATTGAGCCAACGCTGAACCCCGCTACGCCCATATGCAAGTAGAAACTACCATATCGAGTTCGCTTGATATTATCTGAAAACAATATCAAAAGAATAATTGATAAAATATAATCTATTCAAATATCTGAAATAAAATTTTCTTCTCAGTATTAAATGTTAATAAAATCAAGACATGAATTTCACTTGATATGTGTTTACCTTCTATATTTTTCTTGACTCTACTTAAATGATAAAACGTGTACCCCAAAAAAAACATACTGACAACATATAAATATATAGTAAAGATCTGAAATAAATGGAGAAATTATTGTTAAATAATCTGCAAGTAAATAATAGTTAATTAAATTTATCTTAATTATACATAATAATAGATAATTAAGATAAATATAATATATATATATATATATATATATATATATATATCATAACTCATTGTCCGGGCGCTCGCTTTTATTTCAGTATACTCGTGCAACCTGAGTTCGATCCCCGGTGACGGCACCAATGAAATTGTTAATTTTAAGTGCGGACTTACCACGTACTCAGTGGTGAAGGAAAACATCGTGAGGAAACCGGTATATTTTTGAAATAATAACAAAAAAAAATTTTCAAAGATATCTGAAGTTGCCTTACTACCCACTGTACAGAGGACGCCTTTGTCCAGCAGAGGGATATTTATAGGTTATTACTTTTACTTTACTTTAACAAAACACATTTTGTGAGACATTTATCTATCTGAATTCGCTATTTAGCAAACATTGGTCGTAGTAAAAATTAATATACATACAGTTCACATTCCAGTATTTCAACTCAAATTATTGGAACCTATTTTAATTTATCAGGGAACTCGGGGATTAAAAAAATTAGTAATGGCGAAGCCATTGTTTTTCATTCGTCAACATCAATTACTCATGATAAAATAACATTGTTGTCCAGCAAGTAAATGAAACAAAAGACGAGCTTTTAATAGAAAGAAATATGTATACTTACGTCCGACGTTATATTTGTGTATAGTTCGTTTTGTATAGTGCTCGTGACGGGTAATGCTAGTCCCAAAACTATTAGAAGCTTAGCATAAAACGCTGATAGTACTACTGTCATTGATTCGCTGAAACAATGTGATATATGGAAACAATTAATGCAAAATCCCATAACTAACGATCATTGCTCCAATGATATGCTTGGAATTGTACCAATTTTCAAATACTTCATCAAATTATTGAATTAGCTATGCAGAGCTCCGTGAAATTGAATTGGCTAATATAAGTTGTAAATAAATTATGGGACAGGAATGTCTAACCCATAATTAATACCACCAGTAAAATGTAATGTATGTGTTCATAATTATGTTATAAAGATATATGATTTTTGAGTCAGTCTGAAGTATTTTAGTTATTAAAAAAAATAAGTAATATAATATTTTTATGAAACAAAAAGAGCAAAATATCTTCTCTCTATTTTATTAACCAAAGCAAAATAATGTCACGTGGATCTGTGGATCGTAAAATGCTACTTTCGTGTGGGAATCGATCCCGCATTCCCCCAGAGCTGAAGCCAAATAATTTTCACGACCGCGCCGCTAAGCCATTAATTTCGATACGTCCAAATAATGAATATACGATCATTATTATTGATCATCACCTCAAACTGGAGGTAAATCACTTGCACATTTAAAGAAGTATCGTCATTAAAAATTAGTTTAGTGTTAATGCTGGAGCACACAAATGGACATTCATTACGTAAATATTTTATTAGACTCACTCGCCATGAGACAGTGGACTTCTTTTTGGCATTATTGAGACACTTGAATTACTGCTACATGGTAGTACTACGCTGAGTCGTGGCAAAGAGTGTGGAGGATGTTCACTGAAATTGTACAAAAAGATCTCGTTAAACAATCACTTAATAATTTTTTTGTCTAATAGGAGGTATTGCCATTTTCATAACCCTGAAATTAAAAAAACATTATTTTTAAAATAGAAGAACACAAAACCTATTGAGTTACCAAGTACCTATTGAGTACCTTAACAAATTAGCCGTGATACTCGTTCCTAATTGTCGGGCGCTCGGTTTTAATTTCATATACACAATCGATCTCCGGTGCCGGACCCAATGAAAATGTTAATTTTAAGTGCTGAATTATTACGTGCTCAGCGGTGAAGGAAAACATCGTGAAAAAAATCGCCAATCCGCAGTGAGGCCGCGTGGTTGTTTATGCGCCCTGGTACCCTCTGTACAGAGAAGGCCTTTGCCCAGCAGTTGGACATTTATAGCTAGTATAAGTAACAGCTACTTTAACAAATTTACGAGTGGACTTTGCCCACGGATAGATACCATTTAACAGAGAAAAAACAATTAAAAACGCCAATTATCCTATGTGGTGTCAATACGATATAAAAGAAGGTATGTTTTTTATGTAAAAAGGTAGCAAGAGATTTAATATGAATACCGCCCGTCTATCACAACTGTAGGGCTGCAGATGTGTCCATTTATATATAGATATCTCTTATAGTATGGACACCAGTTACTCGTCAGAGAACACAAAAGGATAGTACTTTCTGTCGATGGTTTAAGCCGTGATACATCCTCGAACAAGTCTGCTCAGTTATGCAGAATCTTTTACATATCCCTATCACAGTAAACTATATTGATTAACTTGGCGTCCTCTTTCTACATGTTGTTACGTAACGTGTAATAGAAGCTGTTACAAGATTGTGTTACGATACAGTACACCGGTGTGTAGTGGAAGTAATAAATGAGAAGAAATAAAAAATAATTTTCGCGTTTCATTCGGTGAGTTTGGTAACCGAGTGTTTAAAGTGTCAACTATGTGTATGCAAGGTGATGTAGATGTCCACAGTAAACACTTAACATAGGTGAACTGCGTGTTCGCTTGCAAACTTTTTACATGAAAAATGTAAGGGCAAATTTAATTTAGTCTCTTCACCGTTAGATAAAATCTTAACACGAATCTTTTTAAGAGATTTTATTGATATTACGATTTAAGTCAAGTTGTTTTGTTCGGATATTGCACAACTATTGAGCAACTGTTGAGTTTCTTGCCGGTTTTTTCTCAACAGAAACTGCTTTCCGAACCGGTGGTAACTTACGAACGTATTAATTTTTATGTAAAATTTTTGACATTTCATAAGAACGCGCAAGCGTCTATGTGAATAAATATATTTTTAATTTTGATTTTTGATTTTGATTAGTGGGCTTAGTGAAGCGATCTCAATTCAACTCACCTTTCATCCTCAGGCACGGCGAGGAGAGGCTCGGACCTCTCTCGCCACTCCTTTGCTGCATTCTGATTGGATTTCTCTTTATTTTTCACCATCACGCTCAAAGATGGATTTTTTTTTCGCCTTAATAGCAAGCACTTAATTGCGTGACCTCTCCGAGGCAATTACCGGAACCGATATTAAAAGGCCCTGATCCGCATTCATTCAAATTCTCAAGTAGGATTTAACATGTGTTAATACTTCTAGAGCAAATTGTCAACTGTACGAAGATGCGACATTGGTAAATGGACACTCATGCGTCCGTAGGTGTGCAAATAATTAGTTATTGATAATTGTTATAAGATACCGTTTGCTTTATGGGGAGTAAATTGAAATTGGAAATGCAAAGCTGGATTAATCTTTTTATTATTCACTGTATATAAAAGTCTGTCGTTTTGACTGCTTCGTTGGCATCATGCTACTCAAAACTCCCTTGTCGCTATTTTCCTGAAGGCGATTACAAAGAAATCTTGAACAATTGAATGTTTAAGCATAAAACAGCATTAGGTACGATGTGAACTTTTGATCTATAACTACTTTTTTGCGTATTTTTTGTGTTTTTCTTTACATTCAAAATTAATTACATTTTGATATAGTTTTAAATGGACTTCGCTCTGATCACTTGATTAAAAAAGGCGTACATACAGTGTAAACTATCTTTGTTGGGAACTATCTAAATATGTTTATTCTATTTTGTTCTCCTGGAGCCCTTTTTTAACCGTCTACGTGAAAAAGAAATTCCCGCATCATTATCTGTAGCTGTTATATCCTTTCTTTGCTACGTAATAACTTAATTGATAAATAATCTGTACTTGCCATCTATATAATATGTAAGACTCTGCGAAAGTTTTTCTCTCTTATATTTTGTACACTTCTTGTGTTTTTATGAATATATTCTATATGTTCGTGATAAACTAAAGGAATTGAAATCTTTTATCACTACTTGGTAAGTAAAGTTTCATTCGATCGGTGCACCATTTAAAGATTTCGAGCTCTAACAACGTTGGCCGCGTGAACGGTACAGAGATGTTGTCCTTACAGGTAAATAATTAGCGCTAGTGGTGTCACTTTCAGACGGTTCTCCTAACGAGCCCCATGCAACGCCTCCCCCCTTTTCCCCACTTCTTATCTCCCAACACTACGCGATTAATTAGACGTCTACCTCTAAACGAGCCTGTGACTTACCGCTTGCTCCGTATTCCAGCTAAGTATTAAATTCTGTTATAAAGATAAAATGTTGGCGGACGTTTCGCCTGAGCGTAAATCTGTTTACTCATTTAATCTACAGTTATTACGCGGCATCCGGCCTCGCAGATCACGCTGCACTAGATCGTGGATTTTTTCTTGGGACTCATCTCTAGTCAACACGCTCTGAGGAGTTGAAATCGGAACGAAATTCTTTTCGTTTTCCTGTTTTAAGCGTGACAACTGTGTACGTCTAGATACATTACTCTCAGTAAACTTCGTATTTATTTTGGCAATCATACGATTTACTTTACTGTAAATAGAATTTTACTTAAAAATTGTCCTTCATAACGTGTTTACTGTTTAAGTAAATATGGATCTAAAAGGTTATAATAATATCCAATGGATATTAAATTAAATTTTAGTCACGACTATGCTTGGTGGTGGATACTTGTAAATAATTGTCACCTATCGTGACTTATTATAATTCACATTTTGCATACATGTGTTATTATTAGATTTTTACTCTAATATTTAAAAAAATAAGTTAGGACAAAATTAATTAAAAAATAAATGGAAAAAATTTCAAGGAATGTATTATATAAAGCTTTCATAATTACATTAAAATACCAACATTGTGAAAACATAAACCTCAATCTTGTAAATATAATTTTAAGAGGTAACTACTTTGTTTTTGCTTCATATTCAGCAAAAAAAGCTTATTCAAGCATAGCGATTACCATAAAACATTAAAACCAAAAGCTCAGTTTAGTACATGATTTTTTAAAATTTGGATCGTATTCTCGAGAAGTAAATATTCTGTTTGATTCTGTCCCGATAAAGCTTCATGACGTATACTTCAATGCTATTATTGCTTTTAAATGTCCCTCGGTCTTTGAAGATTCTTGTTTCTTCTTATATTTGTCCAACAGTAACTGAAGATTTTGTCTTCATTCTCAACAACTAACTCATTCTCACGCGTTGTCTTGAACACGTTGAGATTGAGGTGGAACGATTGTAAAACTCCGATAATCTTATGCTGGCTTGAGATTAGTAATAAATATTATAGATTAGTTATATCAACCTATATATGTCCCACTGCTGGGCAAAGGCGTTCTTTAAAATATTTAAATTAATTACACCGTTGAGCATGTGTAAATCAGCACATAAAATTTACAATTTCCTTGGTACCGGGTTTTGAACTCAGTTTACTCGAGTATATTGAATTAAAAGCGAGCGCCCAGACTTTGAGCTGTTGAGGCTATTAATATATGTAATATAATACCTTTATTGTACTGCTGATTTTGCTATTATCTGCATTACTGCACATTACAGGAGGTCCTGATTAACTAATATTGGCTTATTGATAATTACTTAAGATGTGTCTTCATTTATTAAAACAATCACGAAGTTATCAACAGAATAATGACGCTATAGCCACAGAAATTATTTTTCGTGTTGTTGAAGCCGGTAACGCGGTTAGTGTACGAAAACAATTGTATCGTTTTAAAGTAAATGCAAACAATTAGCGGAGTATTGTTGTTTGTTGTGAGTTCGTGACAAAGGGTAGTATTCAATGTGTTAAATGCCCCATCACGTTCATCGGAAATTCGTACAAACAATGCAAAATTTTAGATTTGTTTCGGCGTTTTTAATGGAGTTTCGTTCCGTTTAATTGGCTGCTTTAAATAAGTAACGTACATAGTTTCGAAATATTATGCTAATTTATATTTAAAATAGTTAATAAATGTAATTTATTTTTTGCTTTTTAAAAAACATTGCCCTCACTTTAGGATAACATTATCCTGTGTTGTAAGGACGTTTTACAAACATAAATTGCACGAGGACAAACTGGTGACAAAATGCGGAACAACTATCTGTGGGTCTCATAAACAGTTGTACCATCTGGGAATCGATTCCACGACCCCCAACGCCGAAGCCAATATCTTGGCAACTGCGCCACGGAGTCATCATCACGCTTTATACACTTTTATTACATCTTATAGTAAAATAATGCAATGAATGAAGGATAATTGTGAATATTATTTTACGGTGGTAGGGTCACGCAGCATCCTCGGCTGTTGCACGAATGGGCAGGCCCTTCCTGGTAAGTACCACGATCTCACAGAAGACCAGTGTAAAGTGAAAGTATGACAAATACTTTTGCGTTTCGTCTGGTGAGTGAGGTAGCCGGAGCTCAAAGCATCTTGAACCCTCGGGTGTAGCAGATGTCCATGGGCGGCGGTATTCACGTACCATTAGGTGAACCGTCTGCTCGTTCGGCAACTTCTCAGATAAATAAAATCACATAAATAAAGTTAGAGGAGGTACAATTGGAATGTCTGCGACATCCACCGGACTTTGCTTCAACAAAAAAAATTCAACTCGGATGCGGCAGTCCAAACTGCCTTCTCTTTCTCCCGTTTTTTTAGTAAGGGGATCAATGAATTACCTATGAGATGGCAATAGTGCATAGATAACAACGGTACATACTTTGATTAATGAAATAAATTTTACAAATAAAAATTGGCTTTATTATCATTCCGTACAAAACGCCAATTTCATATGTAAAGAACCTAATATTACGAAATGGGAAAGGAAATAGTTTAATATACCTACCCCTAGATGGCGGTAAGAGCTTTTTTTTTACAAACTCAAATAACCTTACAAATACAGCAATTCAAGTAAGTTTATGGATAGTTCCGTTTTTTGAAATATTTCATAATATAATTGTGATACATATTAAGTTTTTGTGTCATGTCATGAGGGTTCATTAAAAATAAGTTTTTAGCCTATTTTTTAATTTCTTTGCATATCACAGTACACCTTTACTTGTAACAAATATGAATCAACTATATAAGTAATTATTGAAATAAAATAAGGTAAGTTTAAATATACCCCAAGGTGTTTTGTCGACAGGAAAGAATAATATGTTAATACTTTTTTTATTTGAGCTAAAAACAACAGATCATATTAGTTAAATTTATTACATACTTTTTCGTTAAATAAAATGGTTCATTAAAAAGAGCTCCACAAAATTTGTATTATACGTTAAAATATATGGGTTTATTCTTGAAGCTGTTCTTCCATATCTCGAATAGGCATATGGTCGAATGAAACCGGTAGAAAATAGCCAACGGCATTGACACGTGCGTTATGATAGTCCAAGCCCAAGGCCCGTAAAATGACAAGTGGGCCGGTCGAAACTCCGCTCGATTCTACGAATGACAATCAATTTATGTAATATATATTAGAACAATCATTGTAATATATATCTATATATTACAATGAATAAAATATCATAATCATTTGTAATGTACATATCAGATCAATTATTGTATATATACAGCGTGTCGTTACCAACGCGACAATAAATGAACACACGTCTAACGCTACTTGCCAATAATCATAAAAAAATATTAACGTTAAACAAAATCCATAAATAAAAAAAAATATTTTTCAAACAAACTAATTAAATAAAAAAGAAACAAAATTTGTAACAGCCCTATACAACTCGCGCCACAGCGTCGTATTACAAGCCTCTCCTTCTAACAGTATGTTTTGTCTCTTTTAAATTCATTCAACCCATTCATATGCTTTGTAACTTTTACAAATGAACTTTACGTTACGCTTTTATAGGTAAGGCTGTTCTAAAATTCTTTGTTTTGGAAAATTTTATAACTATGTAAATATTGATGTTTAAAGAATTTAAATGTTTAATACAACTTTAAAAAGTTATCCCCTATATGTGTGTTCATTTATTGTCGCAATGGTAACGACACGCTGTATAGTTGCATCCGTGCCGAGGGTTATGGGTTCAATTCTAGCACGTGACAAGTATTTGTGTGATCGTGATCCACAGATATTTTTTCAGATTAGGGTGTTTTATGCCAAGGATAGCTGACGTCAAGGCAATAAATACAACATGATTAACATTTTGTGCCAACTCCAAGTAGCATTCTCCCAATACCAATTTACTCCTAATAAAAGAAAAACTGCATTGAATTTGAGAACGTCAAATTTCACCTTTTCCAGGGTGTTTATTGCCCACATAGCCATGTTGGCGACTAGAAGAAACGTCACCAGTTGACGGCCCGGTTTTTTTCGGCGTTGTTCTGACGTGCTACTACGTCGCCACCAGGCATCGATTATGAACAGAGATTGTAGTATCGTCTGTAAAAATTCAATAATATTTTGCAATATAAATTGATATACTTATATTGTTTTAAAAAAATTATAAAAGTTTTCCAACCATTAAATTATATCAACTTTAACACATTTATTACTAAGCATAACGTCAGTTGTTGAATAGTATAATGAATCTCTTAATAAAGAATAAACTTATATTTTTATAACATTAAGCTTAAATTTATAATAAATAATTGTCAAATACCAATACACTTATCGAGTCGATTAATAATTTAAAGTAATTATTACTTTATAAATTGAATGAAATAAATTTCGTTTAATTAAAATTTATTAATGCGGGTTATACTGAATGGATTTGTCAATGGAAGGGAACTTAAATTTCACATTGTCATATATACACACATTGCTTTTTTGACGGCAATTTAATAAAAACATCATTTACAACAATATTGAATTTAAAACCGATATAACGCCAATACGTATATTACGTTGAATACATTCGATAAATATGTTAATTTGGGAATATATTGACTACAATTTAAAGCGTCAACTTTCAACTCTAATTTATTATAAAATGAATCAAAGTAGTTAAACAAACTAATGTAATTAACACATTATATATGTACCTATTGCGTTATATAACTTAAGGAACAGATTAACTATATTTTCAGGTGTCAAAACTCATTGTTTATAGATTTCATCACAATTCTAAGTGTAAACGTATTGTTATACCTGATTTAGTGATAAAAACTCGGAGAAGAATCCAGTGATGCCACTACTATTGTCATTGTACATGGTGTGATGACTACCAATTAAACTGAACATGCAGTATACGAACATTCCAGATTGCGCCAGGATCAACAAAGATGTGTCGAGACCCAGAACGGCTGCGAATAGTAAGAAATAAAAAATAAAGAAAATAAATAAAAAAAGGAATAAAAGTAAGTGTGTAGTTATTACACGCGTAAGATGTTATGCTTCTTTATCATAACAAAAGAAATATAACTTAAAATTTCATACCTTGTGCTAGTACTGTTGTGTTGTTTGTGAAAAAGATGTTAAATGCAATTGATAATGTTTGAATTAAATAACTTGGAATTATAGGTAAATGTCAAAAATGCGTGTTACTGGCACACGAATTTTAATTTACGTTTTTAAACTTAATAAAAACGTAAATAACCCAATATATAAAAATAGCTTTTTCTTTTCGCGGTTTCGTTCGCGTTGAAGCCCTTAAATTAATATCTTTCCCCTTTAAGAATCCTTTATAATCGTTTTTCCAATAAAAAAGAGCCTATGTCCTTCTCAGGCTCTAGACCATCTGTGTACCAAATTTCATTTTAATCGATTCAGTAGTTTTGGCGTGAAAGCGAGACAGACAGACAGAGCTACTTTCGCATTTATAACATTAGTATGGAAGTATGGATTTTACGCATACGCGGTACATGAATTAATATTTTGCTTTTTATTGAGTGTACACTTTCTATTTTATACACCTTTCTTCTTTTTCATATAACGAACAGTGCCTAAACGTGACGCGCTTTAAATTTCTCTTTTATTTCTTGTCCAATAACAATAGAATGAACGCCTAACAATATTAAATCGATCAAAAGTAAAATAGAAAATTTCATGGTAAAATGAAGAAAAATTTATTTAGGTTCATCGACTTTAAAGATCGATATTTTTCAGGATAAATCTGTGTCAGTTTAATTCATCTGTTATCAGTAACATATAATATGCATTAAATTAACATATATTTATCCCCATCGCATTAATAGTTCTCTGAAAATACTCGATTTTGAATTTTCAACATGTTTTAATTGTAATTTGAGTTTAGGTTTAATATTTTAGTAAACATAAATTTAAATTATAGATATATAGACGTCTTAAGACAGTATGAATTATATTTATCATTACCTTGGGTATTTCGTTTGTAAGGTAATACCCGCATCTGCTTTAAAGCTCCTGCTACGGCCAAAAGGGTCAAAGAATAGAGGACCGATTCGCATATGTTTACTTCGAAAATTGCCTCCTAAAAATAGATTTATAGTGATTGGATATTAAGTTTAAAAATTGTAATTATACGGATTAATATTATAGAAAATACTTTAAATAATTACATTCATAGTCTTTGGGTTGTGCGCTAGCACGAAGAACATTATAAGGGATATTATGGTGAAGACTATTAGAAGAATACCAGCGAATAGACCACGATGAGCGTGTGAGCAATCTACAGAGAAATGATGTAGAGCGGTTCGACTTCCGTGAGGAGAGCTCACTCCCAACATTCCGGCTGAAAACAAAAGAGAAAAAAAGTATGTAAAAAAAGAGACAAGAATAAATATATCAATTGTAGTTCAGATGATTTTAATATTCACCGAATTGTTGCAAGATTTTTTCCGGGGTAACCGAATTGTTTCTCGATTTATTTTTGGACATGTTAAATTTTCTCTCGAAGTCCTCAGGTGTACATTTGATCTACAAATAATTAGAGCTAGAATATAAAAACTTTTAAATGCAATATTATAGAAAATACTTTTGTGAGAATGGTTACCTCTTTCCACATTTCATATAAAATAACGGCAACGATTAGAGAATATTCGATCGTACACGGGAAGAGGAATGGAGACGCGTTCTGTAGCAATGCTCCCATAATGTTCGCTCTTCTACAAGGCACTTCCAACGTATCGTTATGATATCCATTTGATTTCAACGACATTGAATGTTCCAAGTGATGTATTTCATGCTTTGTTTCTTCGACGAGAACGTACAGCCACTCGCATAGATTAGTCGCGATCATATGCATGAAACCGAATCTCTGCACGATTTTATAGCTGCCAACTTCGATATCTTTGTTTGTCAGGAAAATGAACTGCATTTGTGCTAACGTTAACGTCATCCGTAGCGCTGGCGTCAGTGCTGAAAGGATGGATCGACAGCGATCCGCCATCTCGAAATATTCGCCGAATTCTAATCCGCTGTACACCATAGAGCCAATGCCGAAGGCTGCAACAGGTTTTGAATAAGTTGAGTTCAAGTGACCGACCCTTCGAAGTTGTAAATTGAAAGCATTATGCATTACCAATGGCTCCCAATCTTAAATAGAAGCTGCCATAACGTGAAATCGTCTCCTTCTGTTTGTTTTTCTCGTTTGGTGTCGTTTTGCCGTTCCTATCTTCTTTACCATCTACTTCTGCAAAACGTACACGCATATATGTTATCTATTATGTATATTTGTTTAGAACAAATTTGAGATTATTAAATAATACGAGTGTCTGTAGAACTTAGTGGAATACAAAGCAAAGAAGGTAATATCCTTGAAAACTGCAATTATGCAAACAAGATGCGATTTTAATGACGCATTTTGTTACGCAAATGTGGCTAATTACTAACACACGGCTCTTGATGTGTCTCAACCTACCTTATTATAAAACAAATTTACTTGTATAAGAATTCTTACCATGTTCATGAATGATCAAGTTTACAGCTTTCTGCCGCATTAGGTTCGCATATTGAAATATTATGAATAAAACGGACACTAAATACAAATATAAGTAGAAACCCTGTAATAAATGGAAGGTAAAATTATTAAAACTTTCGTAAGACATTATTAACGTAATAATAAGACGGCTGAACTCACGTAAACGTAACTCAGCGGAACGGGGCGCGACCGCGAACTAATCTCACTCACCCTGATGAAGGACCTCCGATGAGTCCGAAACTAGTCTGTACATACACCGGGTTTACGTGAGTTCAGCCGTCTTATTATTACGTTAAATGAAAGGTATTATACTAATTATCATTTAATTTGACGAGTACTAAAAAGAAAAAGCGGGAAATTAATGGAGTCTGTTTTGCTATTGATTTCTTCAGATTACCTATAAGATAACTGTTTGGTTTTTGCTTCACAACTCATTATCTTCGAAATCTACTAAATTTATCTAAGACGTTTTACACTGGAATGCGCAACTATCCAAATTTTATTCCTTACCTGATAATATGCGTCAGGCACTCCCTTTGCAATTACTTCTGTTACCGGAAAGGCGAGTCCGAGTACAACTAGCAATTTGGCGTACAGTGCTGACAATGCTTTACTCAGAGCCTCTCTGAAAATAATCATTTATACATGATTTTAATGATTGTCACCAGAGTTACAAAACTTTTGGGATTCAGTTTTTCTTATCCTTTTCTTTTTCCAAGGTTTTCTTAGATTTTATTATAACAAATTGATCGTTAAATATGTTACAGTCCACAATTAGTAGTTTGCCGCGGTAGACTATAGCATTCCTCCATTGAATAAGCTAGACATGTATTCAAAATCAAGCAACAAAAATGAGTAATCAGGTTTACAACATATAGTTTTACGGGTATTGTACTTCAGACGTACGAAGATTCCGTTATTCGACGGCCATGCTGTCTTGAGTGTTAATAATTTCTATTAAAATGGAATCGTACAGAAATTAATCTAATCGTCACTCGTTTTTTGCATTTTTATTTATATAAACAACCAACATGACCAATCAATAAAATTTTGTGGTAAACTAAAAATCCGAACAAGATCCAAAAAAATAAAACTTTAATGTAACATTATGGTTTGAGAAAACGGTTTGAGAAATGTTTGAGAAAATGGTTTGAGAAAATAAATTTTGTATATTGATGATTTCATTATGGTCATTATTGGGTTTGCCTTCATATAATTTTGAAATTCTTACAATAATCTTATTAAGGGATTAAACCTCAATCCGCAATGGACATATAATTACATTTAGATAGCGGGTATGTCTTGAACCATACTCTACATATTGAATATAGTATTAAGCATAATGCGTTGATTAAATTAATAATATCTTAAAGAGTACAGCGCACGAAGAATTAAATTCCCTTTAAAGTATTAATAAACAGTTTAAATTTTTATAATAAACTAATGACTGATCATACAAAAACGACCCATGCACCATTAATGATTGCACTCAGAGATTTCAATTAGCAGTAGATGTAAACAAAATTAAATTAATTAATTTAATAAGTAGAGTCTCACTAAAAAGTCTCATTATTTATGACTGAACTTTTAAAATTAACTAATTTAATGCTCGTGAATTTCTTATATCTCTGAGTGCCGTTGAACTTCTTTATCTTATATTTAAAACACAAATATTTACTAAAAGTTGTTTATTTATATAGCTTTAAGTCCACAAAATGATTAGAATTACGAGCATTAAAAAGTCTTGTTTAATAATTAATTTGTTTTCTATAAAAGTAATTTGGTCTTAATTTAATATTACAACATGTTACATCCAAACAGAACCAATTGATGTAGCAGAAAGTATTGAGAAGGCTCGACTCAATACTTTTCACTACTTCTTAATAACGTCCCAAACACGTTAGAGAGCATTTTATTGGCAGATACGGAATTTATTTATTTCGTCGAGAAACAAATATTCACCGTATTTCTCTATACCATGACTTTTTATTTCTACATAATTTTTTTTTTCAATTAAAAAAATTCTTCGTTTATAAATACTGAATTCATTTTTAAAATTTAATTACATTCGTGTCGAATCCGTCGGTTGAATACTCACGGAAACATTGTCAAGCTGTCTATACGTTTTATAATACATAAAGCGTATCCTTTTGTATGGCGTAGACGCGTCGTAGGTTTCCTGTATTGTCGATTTCATGATGCAGAGTGAATGGCGTTATTCAAATGAAGGAAGAATATTAACTCAGAAACTGATATCGAATCTCTGATCTGTGTTTATTTGTTTTCCACATATTTTTTTAAATGTGTGACAAATGAAAGTTTAAATTGTTCGCTGGTTTTGCTTAGAAGTAATAATGATACACTAAGAGGGACATTTACAGAGAGCATCAGTACTGATTTACATTAATGAACAAAATATATGAGTGCTTTTTCAAGCACTTATTGTTTTAATGGTCGTTAACACTTACATAAATATATGCGATATTTTAAGTCCGTCATAAAAGTTATGCATATGACAAACAATCATGATAGTGAGCAGTGAGGATAAGATAATCATAAAATTCTGCTAATGCTTAATATGCTTTAGAGTTTACTTCAATTTTAACCAAATTACATAGAATTACAAAAATAAGAACTTCAATTTATTAGAAAAGGCCAATATGCTGTTTTAATGGAACACTTTTATATTCGTTGTTATAACTTTTTTAAAACATAAATAGGCTTATAAACTCTTTTCTTTGCGTCACGAAGTTGGATAAATATTAGAAATTTACGCCAGCATGCTGAATGGTCATTAGTAAGTAGGGCCTTTAGTTTGCGGTCAGTGGGACGTATTTCAAAAATTTTACAACCCTCAGTATAAACGTTATACCACTGTCTGAAGCAGACGGTGTACAGACCTGAATACCCCTTGACACTGAGTGGACATGATTAATGAAATCAAAGGGCTTATTAACTATTTTACAATTTAAATATAAAATTTTACGAAAGATTGAAAGATTGTATGACGATTGCAATGTTCTTTGTCTATTTGGATGTTTGTCAATTTCGTAAATTATTAATTTGCATTTCCGTATTTATCTCATAATATTGTATTACAATCTTTTTCGTCATAATAAAAAGAGAGTTGTATTTACTTGTGTAATTATTAATAATAATATATGACACTGATCATTGTTAAATCCTGTAATCCTTAATGTGTATCAATTAACCTATTTATTCAGGATCGAATTGCTTATATTACTATGGGCAGTAATTACAATCAAAATAGTATCTACGTAAGCTTATAATATTTATAAAACTTTAATTCCGTTTACCATACTACTCCTTTCCTTTTTCCATATCTGTGTACCTTTTAAGAGCACGAGACCTCAGCGTCTTTATGCACTATGCAGTTTTTACATATGAAAAAAAGTTGAAATATTCTACAAATCTTAAATCAATATAGCAATTATGTTTTTAAGGCTTAGAGGTACGTTGCTCTGATTTATTAAAGATAATGAATGTCATATTATGAATATGCTTACTGTCCCATCATTTCTGCAGCCGATGGCGGCGGCTCGGGATTTGTGGACGCAAACGAAGTCCGGGAATGGGGGCTAAGCTCCGACAAGAATCGGCGCTGAGTCGCCGCGCATAAAGCCAACGCCTGTGACGGTCGACGAAATGCAGCGATTATCGCCGATGGTCGCCTAAAATAGTAACAAAGTAAAAAGAAGACAATAATGGAAGGTATAGATCATATCTAGTCATAACTAATGTCAATATTGGGTGTTTTAAAGTAGCTAAGGATATACTAATAGTATTCGACTCGTTAAATATTCCTTTATAAAAAAATATTAACACATCTGATAAAATATGGGAATCAGAAACTATAACAAACGCAAACCAATTACAAAGAAATGAAAATAAAATAAAATAACTAATATGATGACATATCATAGGAGGATAACTAGGTAATATTAATTTCACTATGATGACGGTACAACAACAAAACTATTGAATACATCATTATAGCTCTATCATTTGAAGGAGTCCAAAAGATAACGCACGGATGATAAATACTGCAATAAAAGAAATTTTACGTATAAGCATAAACTTTTAAAATATATAAGTTTACCTCTAGGACAATTGTTGCTTTTGGTGATATCTTTGGTAATCACTGATCTAGTCATTGTGATTGATTGATGATGATTTCAAGTAATGAAATTAATGTTCTTTAAGCTTTGGCCAAAATATAAATGTCTGTAATCATCATCACCATCATGATCATTGCAGCCAGTTAGACTGCCACGATCCTGAGCTACCTACATTCATCGACTTCCCGTACATCACATTCCCGTACATTTGCATATTTAGCATGTTTTTATTTTCAGAATTAATATTGATGAATATTTTAGTGAAACATTTCCCGCATTTAAAATGTATAGTTCCAATTCCTAATTGATGTTATCTTAAATCTGACGCTTCTGTTTTAGTTTCACTATGGTAAACAACCATACAATCCAGAAAATCTGTATAATATTCAATTTTTAGGGATAGAGAATGACAGATTAAACACGTTCTCTACCGTAAACATAGTTCGTTGATGATGTTCACTGACCTCGTGTTAAGATTCGCAGCAAGTTTTGCATCTATATCGCTGGACATCCTCCTGCTATTCGGTTGGGAATGCGAACTCTGCACGAGTGGCTCGGCAGCAGAACCAAGCATGGCTCTAGTACGCTCGCGAAGTCGCCCCAAATCGGAATATGATGATTCATCGCTAAAATAAATATATTGTAACGAAAATGGCAACAACTGCCCGTTAAAGATAATTCAAGTATGATTTTCAGTTTGATTGATTTGAAGTTTGATTCATTTTATTGTCGTTATAAACCGGATTGTTAACAGAAAATTGAATAGCGATACTGTTCAATGCGTGAAAATACAATAAAAAAAATTAACAACGTTTAATAATTTTAATGTACATTATTTTGTGTTAGCTGTATTCATAAATATTGGAATATAAGTATTTTAAAGACATACCTTACTTGCTAGCAAGCTTAACTCAGAAATATAGCCCTAAATTGTAATGTGTAATCTGTCCTAAATTTTGGGTTATAAAATAATATAGGAACTGACACAACGAAACCTTAGTATTGCTCAAAATCATGCTAATAACGAGAAAAAACTGGTGTAATGAAGACGATAGCATGTAGCATAAATCATGAAGGTGCAATTTCATTGACAGAATAAATGTAATTAAGTAATATGATTGCGAACTACGGTATCAAATTTCAGAGGTCGGTACGGTTGGCAAAAATTAAACATCCTATTGGTGGCATATTTGTAAATCCGTCACTGGTTAGATATTTGAGTTTTATTCTAACTTCATTTAGCTAAGAATGCAGTTTCGACTTTAAATTTTTATTCTCTACATAATATTTACAGGAAGGTTAATTTACACTTATTGCAATAGAAGACATTAGATTGTGCACACATATCTATGTATCTGTGGTCATCTTTATGAGTCGATATTATATCGATGTTGTAACATAAGGTATATTGTCCTGTACTAGCCACCAAAATAGGCTTCCACTCACAATAAGAGACTTTGTGGAGTAATTCACTGCAGTATTCCAACAGATCTCATGTATTGTTTCTGAAATACGATTGGTTCCACTGGGAAAATGTGTTATTTCATAAATGTGAGTTCCCAGTACATTTTTTAAAATTCCATTCATATTAAAATTGAAAATATATTAAACGCATAATAAAATAGATTTTTATAGCATTCTATTCAAAGTTCTTAACTGGCAGTGAATATCTAAGTACAAAAAAGATGTCGCATTTTGTAGGCATTATGATTAATCAAAAAGATACTGTCCTTTGGCGAGACACATACAAAAGTACCTAGTAAAAGTAAATTTTACTCAGGTCACTTGCAGTGATCTTTAAAGAGAAATGACTTTGGCCCGTTTAAATGATGGTTGATGACTTCAATGGACGAATAGATATTGTAGTGACAAAATAAGCAAAGAAAAAGATGGATGTGGACCATGTAAGAGGAGGATGTAAGACCATGTGAAAGACATGGAGGTATGCAAGATATATGGAGGCGTAAGTGATATGAAATGGCCGCGGAAAGTGGACATCCGTAATCTTTGTCAACTTATTTGGGTGACAAATGATGTTTAACAATAAAAAAGACGCATGTCCATACAGCGCGGCGGTTAAAAATTGTTCCACTTTACATTTTATGACATAATATATAAGTGAATGTGACAGATAATACAGAAAGTATAATATGAAAAGAGATAGCAGTCATTGCAGTCTAATTACACCGGTGTGTTACTTAAATGCCTCAATTTCTGTGTGCTAGTATCATATTTTTGTATATAATATCATTGGCGTGCCATTAGTCACGAAATGATAATCACTGGTGATTAGTTTCAGTAAAATAAATTAATAATTTAATCTAAACGATATTATGCAAACAACATTTAAAAACAGAATAACTTAATTTTAATGTACTTTCCTATTTTAAAGTGGTAAATGACATTATATTAACAAAAGCTGGTATATAAAACAGGTGAAGCGGAAAAGGGGACGGGAGAAAGGTGTGTTAGACGGCACAAAGCGGTCTATCAAATGTCATAAATATTTTCGAAGCTTTGCTGCCGTTACCGAACCTAAATCCCTCTTTGCGTATGCATTTCATACTTTCCTCTTTGTTACACAGTTTCGGAATCGTGCACACTGTTTGAATGTCCGAACAATAGAACAAAGATATTTAATATTATATCGAATCATCTCTCAACCGGATTATCTATCAACCGGAGAGAGTTAATATGACAAGGATGGAAAATAGTTTTGTCATTACTAAACCCCTGCAAACACTAAAATCTTTTTTCTTTGATTATAGTTTGGTTTTGTTTAAGCTATACAGAAAACTACAGTGCTGTACCTTTATATATACTTATAAGTATAGGTAATCCGCTTGCTTGTTTGCCACAAAAAAGTGTGGATTATGCATAATGGTTTAATATCATAAGCACTTTACTTTATTCTTTACCATGTCTAAAATTTAAGTGTTGCGCAGAAACCGAAAGATAGGAGAGATATTGTAGTACAGCTATTGTATTGAACTATTCCGACTTCGGCGCTCTGAGCGCAAAATCTCCAAAATGTGCATCCTTCCGTCGGAAATGTCTTTCTAAGCTTCATTGTATCCGCGCCATGTCTTTTCGATATAAAAATATTACAATGTACATTTTCCCGCTAAAATAATTCATCATGGACTTTTATTTAAATAGCTACGTAAATATTTAAATTCATGTGGAACATTTCATGGTGCCAGGTTCAGCACCATGGTAGAGGAACCTGAAAGCGCTTTGGTAAAAGATAAAAAATATGAACACATATTTATTATCCGTTTTATATTTTACCAGACTTCAGTTTGAATTAAAAGACTTTCCGAAATTGCATATAATATCCATTCTAAAGATTATTCTTTGGTTTCATTAACCCTCTCGATAATTGGAGTTCTGTAGGTAATTGTGTAAGGTAAACAAAATTTCCATTATAGACATTGAGAACAAGAATTTTTTCTTTTAACAGAACTTTTTTTGATCTGATCCAAAGGATATTTGATATATCAAAAAAACTAAGATGATCCAAAACTTGATAGTCAAGTCAAAGTCAAAGTCAAATATCTTTATTCAATATAGAAGCATTCACTTGCTTATTGATAGTCAAAAAACTCTACCACCGGTTCGGAAGGAAAGCACGTGAGAAGAACCGGCGTAAGAAACTCAACGGGACATTTTTTTTTTTTTTTTACTTCCCAAAAAAATTACAAATATCTGTACAATTTATTAAATTCCACTTGGAAGAGCCTGGAGCGAGATAATTGTTTAGCGAATTATTTTGAGAAAAACCAATATTGTTTGCAAATGTATTAAAAATTTTTAACTTGATTTTCAAGGCATTTCTTACCTCGCACAACCACTCTGTGGAACCAACTGCCGCCGGTGGTCTATCCGGACCGTTACAATCTGGGAACTTTTAAGAAGAGAGCATACTATTTCTTAAAAGGCCGGCAACGCATTTGTGAGCCCTCGGGTGTTACAGGTGTTCATGGGCGGCGGTAATCACTTACGATCAGGTGAGCCTCCTGCTTGTTTGCCCCTTTTCTCCAAAAAAAAAAAAAACTACATAAAGCTGCCATGTGCTGCGCGGTACCATCAAAGTTTTCTTATCAGACATTTTGATAGCGATTTTGAGAAGACATCTTGATAAAATATTTTTTTGTATACACACATTGTGCTACCCATCAAAGATGTTAGAAAACTAAGTCCTAAATTTCAAATTTAATCAATTTGTCATTTATTTAATTTTTAATATAAAAGATACAACCTTTTTCATGTTTAAAAGTAATTTATTTACTTCTTTCTAAGCTAAATAATTTATTCAATTCTCTCTTTCGCTTCTCCGTTTCGCTGTCTGTTTTGCTTTATATCAATTTCAATTTCAAATGTTATTTTTGTTGAGCAAAGACTTAATCTAAATGAGTTACGCAGCTTATTTACTTGCCATTAAGAATAAGATTTTTTGATAATATTTATAACAGTTATCGAAAGCTCTTGCTTCGTGATTTTTTTGATGTATGGTGTTTTCAGCTTAAAAAAAAAGAGTTATTTCTAGAAAACTTCCTAATTTTCAATAGGTACAACAGTACGTGCACCTATTGAAAATTAGGAAGTCACACTTTTTTGTTGCAAACAAGCAAGCGGATTACCTATACTTATAAGAATTTAAAGAATAAAATAAAATGGTATATGCACGGGATATGTAAGAGATATTGTGATTAAAAATAATGGTAAATATTACAGCACAATAAAGTATATAAAGAAGATTCTATAATCCCTGATGAATACAGGTGAGTTCACTATGGAATGGTAACTTTAGGTGTTGATTAGACAGTAGCTGGAATACTGTATTTCAGTTGAGATATTAGAAATTATGAAATTCCATATGAATACTCGGACATTGGAGTTACATTTTCTTGGCAGTACTAAATTATTAAACTTCTACTAATAACTAAAGTTTAACGGAAATTATTCAGTGAAGTGTTTGTGTTTAAAACGAATCTTATAAAGACACAACAGATAAAACTGAATTATGACTGAAGACAAAGGAAATACAGTTTAAAACTAACTTTTAATTAGAACGCCTGCATTCTTCCTAACATTTCTCACGAAAAATTTGTTACATTATATTTTCTAAGAATCTTAGACATTATTGAAATCTAACAACACCTTTCGCATTGAGTAAATAAATACATTTATAATTATTATTCCATTTAATAGATTATTATACACCAATAAATTATTATTTAATTTCAACACTCAGTTATAATTAAAAAATATAATAACCTCTATTTATTATATATATAACAAAGAAACATAAAAATAATTAAAATTGGAAAGAATTATATACATAATCTTATTAATTAAATGTAAGTATGTGAAAATTAATGTTGGTAAGCGCATAACCCAAGGCTGGATCGCTTCGGCTAATATATTTTTTTGTATGTGCCTAAAGTGGTCCTTTAGTGGAGTTAATACTGTTTTAATACTATAAAAAAAAAGAACGAAGTCTGCCCGGACAGCTAGTTTTATTACCTGTCGTCGTTTTCCTCGTGCACTGTGTCCATGTCGGTGACGGTAACACTAGGACGGCATTCGGCCGCTTCGACCAGGGGTCCGCGTTTACCCGGGCTCATCTGTAAATAGACTATAACATTATCCTTCACTTTTCAGAACAGTTCGTACTGTTGGTGAAGTCACCTTTGTCTGTGGTATGAGCATTTTAAACACTTATGACGGAGGCTGTAATACGCACCAGTGTTTTACAACAGACTATTTAATTTTATGAAGTTATATATTTGTGATATGTTTGTATTTAAATTTAATAAGGATCTGTTTGTATCTGATTGCAATAAGAGTCATTTATGTTAGTCATGTGGTATGAAGAATTTTTTTAACAATGAGAAATAAAACAATAAACTTATTTTAGTTTATAAAGTTATGGTTTGTATGGGTAAAAATTATAATTTTGTTGTGTGTAATTAATAAAATAACATAAACGTATGTAATGCTAACTTTTTATTTAAGTTTTACGTGGTTCTTTAATGTATAAAGAAATAAAAAAATATAAATATGTATATACTTATTTCAGAAACTATAAATTTATATTAACCAAATTTCACTAACCTGTTTTTCAGACGCTTGGATTTTTCCTTAAAATATTTTTTCATTGCTTTAATCTTCAACACGATACTAAGGCCCTCGGTGTACGTAATTGAATTGATGGGGCACATCAAAATTGCTTCCGGCGAATGTTTTTATTAGGTTTTTTTCATTTTTCGCCTTTTAATTTTTATGGAAGTCACACGGTGCGACGAGCAGCCTCGCTTAAGGCAAGTTGGAACACTTAACAGTAAGAAATGATACGGTTAACTGTTGCGTATCAGCGTCACGTTTGTGGAACGCGATCTCGAGGCATCTAGTAATAATCCTTTAATGCTTGTTTGCTTACGTCGAGAAGTACCACATTCAAGTGCCGTAGGGGAGCGCGGGGTGAAAAAATTCCACTTTAAATATAACAAAAAAATGATCGGCCACATTTAGTGTATAATATATATTAGGTGTACATTGTTATCTCTCAAACCTTTACGTAGTGCTTTAACAAGACAAAGACTAATCGCCTTGTGTTGGCTCAGCTCACATACAATCAATTTGGAAATAGCTGTTGAGACGAGAAAATTGTTACCAGATTTGTTTACTACAAGAAATCACGTTTCATTAAAAATACTAATTTTCATGGTTGCATATTCTCTTGGTTTCATTTTGAGACATTTAGTCTAATTGTATTTTTCCGTTCATAAGTTTTTAATATTTTATCTGGTATAGGTACTTAGCTTCATAATTTTAGGAAATAATGCCGGTATTAATATGTTTTTTTAACAACAGGCTTGAGTACCCCCGTGCGTATCATAGACAATAATACTCGGTAACTTAAATAACATATGACATGTTTTATAAACTTGGCTGTCTTCTACCAATTAAAGAAAAAGTTACCTTACCTTTGAAAAAGGATTTGACATTGAACAATTAATACCGATAACGATTAGCCCCGCTATCCCCTACTTCAATAGAGGCAGACATATTCCGTGGGATTATTAACTTACGTTGATTTTAGATTTAGGGAATGCGATTAATATTATCAAATGGATTAAAATGTAAGTGTTGATGCGATATATATAATTTACCATAAGTTAAATATTTATTTAAGTACTTATTGCAAACAGATATAATTTTAAAGGTGATATGATATACGCAATCATGATAACTAAAACTTATTCAAGGTATGCTATTAAAGAACATAGTTCCGTATTGCATGTTATCTGTGTCTATAATTTAATAATATATATACTGAGTTTGTTCAGAGTTCAGTCCTTTGTAGTACTTAATGTTTCATGAGAACGCAATGACTTAACTTCGATAGTGTTTCTAATACAGCTGAAAACAGCTGAATTTTATGTTAAATGAAACATTTATCATAGCACCAGAACAACATCCATCTGCAGTGCCTTTTTTTAAAATGCAGCGTTTGTTTTTTTTATTTAAATGTTCATTTTAATAAAGACAAATATTAAAGAGTAGTGGTGGGTTTGTTTGTCTTACGTCCGCCGGGCGGTCCGCTCTAAGGTTGTTAGGTTGTTGAATAAGTTTCTGAATTAAGAGAACTGAAAGTTTTCTCATCTCGAGATTACAGCAAAGTGTTTACCGTTTGGCTGTAGGATGCGGCCGCGACGGAGACACCCCTCTAGTCACGGCTCTTAACATTTCGCTCGATATGGAAATTTAAATTTTAATTATACTTTGTACGGCCAACTTGATAGTCGTTTCTCGTTTGCTTTTTACCCTACGGCGATTTGTGATTAGACAGAGATTTAAGAATTGCAAATATATATATGTATATGTGTAAATGTAATAGTATTTGTTTCGTAATCAAAAACTAAATCTCTTTTAAGAAAAGTTTTTTTGTAAATCTTGTTTTTGTAACGATTAATTCTACCTTAAATTATCGATATTTCGCACATCCCTAATGGAATATTCCCGGTATTTTCTTAAAATATTTGCGTGAGTGTATCGCACCTGATGCTTGCGACGTTGGTGCACTTTAAAATTGTTTTGATTTACGTAGACAAAAAGCCACCAATAAATAAGGAGTTCACAAGAAATTGTAATAAAACTTGGAAAAAGTTTAACTCGCACTTCTTTTTAACTTATTATACATGTACATAATTGGATTAATTATTTTATTACTCAAATGAATTAAAGACCGTAGTTTTGAAGTTATTTAATTTAAAAAAATAACTTCAAGTGGGTTTGATATCGTTTGAAAATTATCATGGAATAATTCCCATTCTTTGCTACTAATTATATTATAATAATATTATTTATTAGGTATATATTACAATAAACTAAGCAAGACGCCAAAATTAGCTGATGTTTAATCTCTCTGTCTATCGGGACTTATAAAAAGACTTATTCGATTTTTATTGGACTTTCACGGAAGTAGTAAAACTTTGCTAAGAGTAATTAAGGGTGTTTTTAAACCTGGAAACGTTTAGATATCTTGCTCATAGTTTAAAAACTATATCGAGCTTAATCCACACGACATAATACCTAGAAAATATTATACGTAACAAAGGTTTATAATAGTGTGAAGAGATATGATTTTGTAACTATAGATATTTAGATATTGTAAGGTATACAAAAAGTAGCAAAGAATGGTTCATTACTTCATACTGTATTTCATTTAAAAAACGCGTAAACTAGGTTTTATGATGGGAAGAATATTGTTTAGGCGTTTTATCGCGTTTTATGTGTATATGCATATATATTACTCTATACATTTATATGTGAGGCAAAAACTTTGTACCCCTTTTTACGAAATTGCGCGGACGGAGGAGTATGAAATTTCCCACTTATAGTTTTTTTTAATATAGAGAAGGAGTGCAGAATGCTAATATTTTTTTAAATTATGCATATGAAATACTTGTAATAACTATGGTCGAATTTCGACCTCTGGGCGACCACTATTAATTACACATTTGTCTCAAAAACAACTTACTAAAATATATTTTACATCAAAAATATATTTTAGTAAGTTTCAAATTAAAGAAAATGATTCAGCTTATTTGTTTTACTTTGGCATAAGCTTAAGGTTCTGCGCCATATATTACCTAAGCGACATTTTATAAAACCGGTGAAGAATTTCTTGGCGATATGGAATTGTTTTTGTCTCTAAGCACAAATCCTGTGCGGCCAGTTCCGCATCTTTGTATATATTGTGTTGAAGAAAAATCTTGAGCATACAGCGCTTAGCGTAATACCCAGCTTGTATTTTTACGCGATTTGAAATAGAGAATTTTATACTTAAACACAGAAAAAGCGCCGTTATAAGAACACAAATTTATATTTTATTTTGAATATTTTGATTCTTCAAGAAATTTGTTTGAAGTTGTAGAGTGTACTCAAAGGTATTCTTCATCTCACTTTCTATTTTTTTCTTTTTTGAGACCAAAACATTTCCCTTACAGCAGGATATCATACTTTCACGTGTGCAAACACTCAGATCCGAAATAATTATCCGTGGGAATTGAACCCACAACCTCCGACCCAGTAATCGCCACTTAGTTTTGCTTATTCATTTTTTATCAACAAAGGAGTAAGCCAATTATATGCTGGTAAGTTTGACCACTTTGGATGTACTATGGTTGGCGTGTTTAAAAGGAGTTTCAGATATAAATGATTTTAGTAGGTAATGTTTTAGGCAATAACACTGCTTATGTCCTACCTACCTTCTTAAACGTAGATAATGGATACTATTTTAAGGTTAGTTTTGAATTACAAATCGCTTATTCATGAGTGCACATCACTGAAAAACAAACTCAAATCGTTTACCCCTGTAAACGCTGTCGCTTCAACTTTAATTTATGTCTTCATTACTTGTTATGTTAATTTTATTAAATACGACTCAATATGTTTTGAATAATGCATGAATTATATACAGTGAATAAACTACGATGCTTGGAAAATTTCCGAAGATGTATTACAAAACGAAACGCTTACGACGTTTCGTTTTGTAATACATTGAAAAATCTGATGAATCATTGATGATGATTCTATTTGACAATTATTGATAACAATAGGTACTATGTCTACAAGTTATGTTAGCGAAAATAGTGAAAATTTATAAAAAGGCTTCATGAATTGTGACCTAATGCGATAGAATTTCTTAAAGGAAATTTTAATCTTCACTGCACTGTTGTTTTCTTTGAGTTTCTGTTTTTGAATAGTATTTTTATCATGAATATTAATTAAAGGCCAGACATTTAAAGCCAGCTAGCTTTAAATTTATAAAACAAATAGTGAAAACTATTTTACAGATTTTATCCCCTTTTCTTTTGATTTTAAATTCCTCGTTGAACAGTCCTTAATAGTTGAACAGTTATTTTGCGGCATCCCTAATATGCCCCGGTACACATGTGGTGTTTTCTGACCGGGTATGCACTAAAAAATAACTTACCATTTACACTTGGGTAAGAGGCCTTTGAAAAGGCCGTGAGATGTTAAGGTTCTTTCTGTTCGAAAATTAATAAAAAATTTAAAATACACTTTTATGTTGTATTATTAACGTATTGTAAACTGATTACTTGAGTAATAAATTATAAACTAGTTCACGTTTATAAGTCAAAACGACATATACGCAAGGAACAATTATACTTAGAGAAGAAACTGATCCCTAACTTTAAAGAACTAATCCCCACCGACCGACGTGAGTTAGAAATATATAGGTGGGAATAGATATATTATGAATGTATTTTTTTTAATTGTTGCTAAATGTAGTACTTTAATCATCGCAAATTTCACAATTTTAATTACTATCGAAATATGATGGATTATTATAAAAATATATTAAACTAGCTGCTGCCCGCGAATACGTTTGTGTAGAATAGGCTGAAGGTGTAACATTCAGGCAGAAAGACAGATATAGATAAAATATGTATATAAATGAAAGCCTATGTCTTATTCTGAAGTATAAGCTACATTATTGTAAAGTTTCATTAAAATCCATTCAGTAATATTTGCGTGAAAGAGTAACAAATATCCATCCATACATACAAACTTTCGCGTTTATATTATTAGTAAGGACTAAACAAAAAATCTTTTCGGTTTTAAAGAAGACCTTGAAAACGCGAGTAATTTTAGTTTATATAAACATAAGGGAGGCATATGTCCAGCAGTGGACTGCAAAAGGCTGATTGGATTGGATTGGAAACATATTTCGTCAGCACAACACTTGAAATAGACAATAACTTGCGCCATGAAAAACAATTGAAACGAAATAGCCATAAAAACAGTAAATTAATGACATTTCTTTCAGTCTAAAATTAAGCGATACTTTCACGTCTTTTCAAAAGGGACGGGTTGCAACACAGAGACGTGTTTAAAAGCATGCAGACTATTTTTTTATCTTTTCTTTTGTTTTCCTACTTTTTATTTTTTTTTCTTCACGATTTCTTGTAACAAAAACAAGGCTCGGATAACCTGCCTAAATGATAACCAAAAACACTAATAGGTGGCGCTGAAATCAATAAATATTGAAAGGGAAGATAAAGTATATTTATCATAATTAAAAATTAACATTTGTGTTTTGGGGAATGTTTGTAACGGATGACCGGGTATGCCGAGCTCTTTTGCTTGTATGGAGTGCACGCGCTTGCCAGTGGCAGGGTAGTAATATAGACATGGTAGTGCATATTTTTCTGACTCATGAAATCTTAAAGCCGTAAATAACCTCCTATTATGTTTGTTGACCGCAGGAAATTAGGGCTTAATTAATAAATAGGTAAACCAGTATTAGGGCTGAATAGATGGAGGCGATAAGCCTAACATTAACGCAGATTGCAGGAGCATGCAATGGGTACGGATATAATGCTGAAAATGAAATAAGGCATAAGATAATAAATAAGGTACAGAGAAATAATTGCGGTCTATATAATACTTTTATTTGTATAATACATATTCCACTTTTAAGGACTTGTGAGTATTCTTAAAATACTGTTATATATTGGAAAGCATAAGTTGCATAAAATATCTGTGATTTATAGAACAAACATATGCATGTTATATGTTTGAGTTAGACTTGTTGATTGCCCTTGTTAGCAAATCTCGTCGTGATTGCTTTCAATTTGCGTCATATACTATATAATTATAACCTGAGCATTTTATGCTCGTGTATCAAATGTGACATTTAATTTGTAGTTTAAGTGTAATAATTTAAGTAATGTGTAGTAAGTATTCAAGGGTTTGGATGATAAACGATCAATGAAAAGTTAGTATATCCTAAAATATGTTAACTTAAGGAGCACGGATATTGATAACAGAGAGTAAAGAGAAGTTAAAAATTGTTTCAACGAGGTGGGACTATCAGTCTTGATACGAGTATATTTAGATAAATGCTCACTTATATAGACATGAAGTCTTTTTTTCCCAACTTGTTCTTTTTATTTAAATTTATTTTTAACCGACATTAAAAAGGAAGGAGGTTCACAATTCGATTATATTTTTTTATATTTCTTATTTGTACAAAATCATCTAAGCGATAGCGTGTATTGTAAATACAGAAATAGCGTAATTTAAGGTCATAAATAAATAAAAGCCTAAATTCATTACATTCGATTCAATAACATATATATCATGAAGCAGTGTTTAAACAGAGTTTTAGGAGAACTTTAATAATAATTTTATATAAAATTGTAATAATAGAAAATTTTAATCAGTTTTTTTCCTTTCTGACATGGTAAGAATAAATAAAATTACCTAGTATTCATTTAAAATAAAAATATTGTTCATATATAAATGAATAAAAAATTGGTGACGTACTATTCATATTTGTAATGACTTAAGCAATTACAATAATTATTGTTTATTTAAAAGCACCACGTGTTATTACTAAAATTGTTCAATAATAGTGCAATGGATTTTACTATACCTTTCTATTAAAAAACACTTTTTCACGTTAGATGAAAAGTAGTATAATCGACAGTACGTAGATGATATTAAGCACACTCACTAGTACACCGCCATGGTTCGATCTCACTCACTGATTTCGGTGATCAAATCACGCCGCTCTTCGATGTGATAATTGAGCGATCAATTTATGCGACACGATTCTCAACCACGATGTCCACGACGCACCACCACGTGAAACTATTTTTTGTACAAACATTTTTGAGGGATATCAAAAACAAAGGTCTTCAATCTTGTGCGATTATTTTTAATTAAAATTGGTGAACAAGGCAGGTTAGATGGATATTTATTTATGTTTTGAATTTTTGTTTTGTATTTTTCGTAACTTTTTATTTGTATAATACCTTTGATTATATATAACTTTTGATTATATATACGTTTAGATTCCTAGTCTGGGTTGCCAACGCCTCAAGGCTTTAGACGTAGGAAAATGCATGTACTTGCAGAAAAGCGCAATCGGTATATTTTACACATCATGGAATAAACACATATTTTTGACAACGAAAAAAAATTAAGTATAACGTTCTTTAAGTGAAATCTTTCAAAATTTACTCACAAAGAAGTAGGGAGGATTGCCTTTCATGCGTTCATTATGATTTCACTTGTATAAGTCACATAAATTCAATTAAACAAAAACAATTCTTCCATAAATGTCGGATCCGTGACTTCATGTTGTCCATTTGACTGATTTTCATTTCCCAACATTATTGTACCTGTTAAATATAATGTAAATATGTAGAGTTTTAAATTAATACCGTTATTTTTATTATCATTTTTAAGTTAAAACCACCCAGGGAACAGGGACTAGAAAAGAATATTGATGGTAACCAAATGTATGTACGTGTGTTTTTTCAGCACTTTTTTTTCATATAAAAGAGATTACAAAAAGACGACGACTTAAAATTAAGATAGATCTGTGCGTATTATATTATATAATGTATATTAATATTTTATATAAATTTTAGTCCAATAATTTTTGTCTTATCGCATTTTGAATTTCATTTATTATGTTCCATTATTGTTGTTAAAGTGTTTATGACTTCAAATAGGTTTAAAAATTCTCAGTAATATTTTTTAGAAAAAAACACGTTAATTTACACATGTCATTTAACCTTATGAAAAAAACTAAGTAATTTCTATTCTATTCTAATTACAACGTATTCTTGTGTGTTTTGTAAATTATTTTACACAACAATTCCTTTACGCACACATGAATACGACACAGTGTCATAAAATTGACATCTGAGACAACATGGCATCTACATGTATAAATAATTTAAGTTAATAACATGTTTTTTTTTAACTGTTTTGAAACTAAATTAGTCTTTTTTCGTTTATTTCGACTGCGTATGCTGCGTGTTTTCTCGATCGTAAAGTCCAAATGAAGTATATGTGTATGCCTGTAGACATAGGTATACGTTATGCAGCGTCATAGGATAGTTTATAATAAAATAAGCCATCCAACGCACTTTCCACGAGCTCATTTCTGAACAAGCTTTGCCAGTGACGCATGGA